AGTTGAGCCAGTTCAATGAACAGCCAAGAAATAAGGTGAGTATGAATTACATAGAAAGCAAACGTGGAAGATTTTCTACTTATTAAATTGGAAAATTACAGTTAAAAGCTGGGGAAAGTATTAATGCCCTGCCTGGCAAGTCATGATTTATTAGTTCGTCTTGGACAAAGAACTATAGCTAATGGAAGACTTCCTGGTTTGTTTGCCAGTTCATGGAAAGAGTGAAGGCATTCTTATATTTAGTTTAGGTTATTAAACTGAAATACAATGATCCAAACACAGCAATATCATCTAACCACTGTTTCAGGTCAATTAAATTCTGAATCACAAAGAGTTGTCTTTATGTCTTGGCACAATACATTGGCTCCCATGCAATGAATGGAGCTGTTGGCCAATATAAACAGGCATTCTCAAATAATTTACTAAATGGTGTTTCTTTTGAAGCATTGGGGGCCAAAGGAAACGTTTACTTTGAGAATTAGGAGCAACAATTCTAGAGGTTTCCCAAAACGTAAGCGCATACAGCTGCAAGACTTTCCTAACATAGGTCCCTCCAGCTGTTATGGACCACAACGTCCAAGAGAAACAAACCACAGGAGTTCCAGGCACAAAATATCTGAGAGCACACAGTTTCTCAAATAATTTTCCCTCAGGGAATCATATATCACTCTTTAAAATAAGGAAACTTTTATTCTACAAGAACTCTCAGAATGCTATAATTTAAAATATTTTATTACAAGGTTTCAAGATTGTCATACTTTAGATAATTCAACCGTATCTAGAAAATGGCAAGATCATTTTACAAAAGAACTTGAACTCTAGCGATCAGCCAACATACACAAAATAGTTCTGCACACACAACTTGCAAATTTTACAGGACTTAGTAAACAAGCTTACAAGACAGTAGTATTTCTGCAACTTGCAATATGTAAACTTTGTAAAAGTGATCCTACACAATATATCCAAGCACATTTTTAAAAGTTGTGTTGAACAGCTGGCAGTGAAAAGGCTAGGGAAATTCACTCTGAAAATTATGTTGGGAGTATTTATCTATTTACAGGTAGTCCTCAACTTACAACAATTCATTTAGTGACCATCCAAAGTTACAACAGCACTGAAAAAGTGACATGAGCATTTTTCACACTGAGGACCATTGCAGTATCTCATGGTCACATGATTAAAATTCAGATGACTTGGCAACTGGCTCATATTTATGACGGTTGCAGTGCCCTGGGGTCATGTGACCATCTTTTGCGATCTGACAAGCAAAGACAACGGGGAAGCCAGATTCACTTAACAACCTTAACAACTGCAGTGATTCACTTAACAACTGTGTCAAGAAAGGTCATAAAATGGGGCAAAACTCACAACAAATGTCTCATTTGGCAACAGAAATTTTGAGCTCAATTGTGGTCACAAGTCGAGGACTATCTCTATTTGTTTTTTTTTTGGCAGTGCCTGACTCCAGACCAGCTCTCCATTGACCTTACAAAACACATCAGCACAACTATTAAAAGATATGAAATATGTTAGCCAGATAGCTGCGTAGTTTAAAGACCACTGCTATGTCTCACTGTTTTAAGAGCCTGGATTTTAAGAAAATATTACCAAGAGACTCTTTCTGGATTTCTAAAACAATGTTAATAAAAATATATAGATTTTCAGATTATTCCATTATATTAGACTTTATAAAACAAGTATGCTCCGTTCACACCACCATATTCAAGATGCTCAAAGGAGTTACAATTGAGAAATTAAACTGACAGATAATAAATTAAGTGCCTGTGCTGCTTACACAGTAGCAAAAAGCATGCCAAAATATTCAAATGTTCTCTAAGAATAGAGAACAGATAGAGAATATAGAGAATGCTGCCTTCTTGAAAGAGTTCAATAAAGGGCCAATTGTTTTGAATGTGGATTTGGAACTCAGCATGTTTACACCAGGTTTGTTTTTAACTGCTTGTCTGGTAGCCCATAAGCAAATAAGAATTCCATAACGATGAGTGACAGGTCTGGTGGAGGAGAGGAGAGATTCTTCCACTTGTTTCCCTAATAGCCGTAACAGAAAGAAAAATCTCTGTACTCTGATCAACAAAGAAATACAAACTAATTCCTGCACTGGCTAACAACAATTTCTATACCCATAGATTGGAATCACATATTGCCTGAGAAATATGCTTGAGTCTTCGGAGAAAGGCGGCATAACAAGTTGAACAAATAAATAAATAGTTTTAAGCATAATTTGCTGAATAAGTCCTGATGGTAGGATCCATGCAATACAGTACTATATAGCAAGCCATAAGCCATAGTTTGCAAAACAACACACTAAACCAAAACCAAACAAACCACATCACAGACTAATATGAAATTCTGATCTAATTTTTTTTTTAAAAAAAACAGCAAGCATCACAATGCCAAATCCTAACTAGGCCTTCTTAAGAGATAAATCCCTGGGGCAAACTTTATAAACTTTCCTGTAAGATAATTTCAGATTGTAAACGTCATAAAATAAATATTCTTTATCTAGGAATCGAAATCAACATATTCTTCCTTTCTCAAACATACACCCCCCCACCCCCAGATGACTACTGTATTCTGCTGGGCATACTGTAGCATAGCCTCATTCTTGTCTGGAATGTTTAATAGAAATGTCCAAGTATTAAGGACAGAGAAGAGAGAATAAAGGTGCTGTGTCAACATGTAAAAAAAATGATGATAGCATCAAAGCACGAAACACCTTTCCACAATGCAAAGTGAATTGTTCAGTGAAATCCACATGCTTCCTTAATACTTTTCTTTAATCACACCCTAGTAATATTTGGGATTAACTGCCACAGGGCAGGAAATTAACCAGCAGAGAAGAAAAAACAGTGTGGCAGCTAAGTGTTTTAGGCAGGAGCCCTGGATTCAAGATTCTCCTAATGTTAATCATAGGGTTACTTTTCTCAGATCAATCTATCTCACACAACTAACGCAGGAGATAAAACCAGATACGCTATAATATACAAAACATCCCTTAAAAGGGAAGAATGGTAGGTTTCCAGAAATATAGAACTTCTCCATTTAAACAAGGCAGTCAATGTAACAACTGACAGGATAGACACTATAGCAACACTGCCTGCTCTCACAAGGAGACAGACAGGTAAGACTTGAAAAAGGCAGACTATAAATCTAACAAACGAATATCCCCCCCCCCAAATTGTAAACAGGGTTACACTGTAATAATTGCATACATATCATTCTATTAGACATGACATTGGCAATTCATTCACTTCATTCTTAGATTTCAAATCTATCAAGACTCAAAACTTTAAAACTGTCGACATAATCGACGTAAGTGTACACAGAACAATCATTCGGAGATCAATGGCACTTTAAAACTCAAGACCTGAGAATGACAGCATCATGTATGTAAGTGATATAGTAGACTCAAGCCCCAGCTTGCTAAATTCTCTGCCATAAACTACCTCCTTGGCTAGCAAAACTCTTAATGGTCACATTGCTGCCCAAACAGGTTGCCCAATACTATTCTTACTCAATGCAAAGGTGAGCCGAGTTTAGGAGCCAACTATCTGTCATCCGACAAGCTTGGGCTTAGAAAAAAAATGTGAGCAGCTTTCCAACTTCCTTCTGTGGAGGCTTCATTGTCAACCTGTAACTGTTGCAGACGATTACACCACTTCTGTTAGCCTTACAGGATCACCAAGCAAATGTGACACTCAAACTTTCTTCTCTTGTTGCTGTATCGTACTCCCAATTTTCTCCTCCTCCTCCTTCTGAAAGCAACTGTGCTTCAGGACCAGTGAAAGGAATTCAAGCGCATAACTATCGGTGCGACTGTGCAGAGCTTTGGATCTGAAATACTCCAGCTGGATGCCACTGTTAATGTAGTACCATCAACTGTATCCTTTCCCAGGGTCACCGTCTGCAGTTGCTGTGTGATTCCAGGAAAATCCATGTCTGACTGTTACAGGCAGGTGCTATGCTGATGTTCCAAAGCACCTTTTAGGATCTAACTCTGAAGCAATGCACATCCCTATACTTGTTACCACCATGATAAGCACTGAATAACACTGATAAGGGGTCAATGAAGACTAAGGGAAGAAGAACAGGGCAAAATATGTATATCCCACCGTCAGAAAATAAATCCACATCTTTAATACTGCTGGTAACCAGGGACTAACCTAAAATTATAAATGCAGTTTCAGAATAACAGAGTTGGGGAAGGGACCTTGGAGGTCTTCTAGTCCAACCCCCTGCTCAACCAGGAGACTCCTCTATACCATTCTAGACAAGGTAAGAGTTCAGGTAAGACTTCTGTTGCAGGAAAGATAATAGCAAACACCGAATATATTTTATAACATTAACAGATATGACTGTTATATTCTTTTAAATACATGCAAATACCAATGTAGGGACACCTTTGAGTCTAGCTTGATTTTTGATACCTTTATATTAAAAATTAAATATGTATCTTGCCATATTAAATCCATCCCTATTTTTGAGCGGATCTGGGAATCTGAATATATGTACTTAATAAGATAATGACAATGTTTCCACTGACAAATTTTACTCTCCAATGAAACAAACAGTACCAGTGACAATTAGGCACTATATAAATTTAGTACTTGTGCCATCCTTCAAAAATGATTCGCCCAGGGTTTTTTTTTTTACAACATTCTAAATTTACAATTTGAATATATGTATCAGATGTCCAGGCTGCTTATCAATTATATAATCACCTTAGGTAATTTACATATGCATTCTCAAAAATCCTCTCAACAACCTTGCAAGGTAGCACTGGACTGTAATCTTGACGCTGAGGATGGCACAACTTGATAAAGAGGTCTTGATAGAAAGTTTCTGAGCCAAGAATGGAACTGGAAAATTCTAGCACGCAGCTCACTAGTTACGTACATTTCTACAATTCCACAACTCAAGGTAGGCCTGGATATCATTCGTTACCACTAGCAAAGATTCAGCAAGCATGCAATTCTTACCTTATCTTTTTCGTGTGGAAGGAGTGAAACCGGAGGAAGACAAGAAAGAGACTCACAACTCTCTTTCCCATCTGCATGTGCGGCTGCTTTCGTGTTGAGTTGATACAAAGGTCCATCTTTAAGGAGTCGGCCATGGCCAACCGCACGCTTAATAGCCAACCTCAACTGCTGGTGAAAGGTAGAAGGGGCACTGCTGGCAAACAAAGCTGAGACATCCTTCTGCCCTTTCAGGTAACGCTCAATGTTCTTCAGAGATGAACCAGAAGACTCTGCCAAGCCCTCAATTGCCCTTTTGATCAGTTTATTCCAGTCCACATTTGGTTTACCATCCAACTTTCCATGGTTCCGTGGTTTAGGAAGTGCTATTCGCCCAGGGTTATCTGGATCCTTATAGGAATTAAGTCCTTTATTAGAAACTTTTAAAATAGTCCCATCTTTAACACTCAGTTCCAACTGTTCCAGGACAGTTTTGCGATCCAAACCATGGGATGAAGAGACGGCATTGCATATCCTCTCTTCCGATGGCCGTTGTTTTTGCTTCTTGACCTTTTTAATTGCCTCCAAAATCCACTCAGTGTACAGCGGGTTAGCGAGTTTTACCATGGTGAAAAATTCTTTATATCCATAGAGTCGTTATCCCTTATCCCTATGCTGAAGGAGTTTCACACAATGGGAAAACAGACGATCGGAGAAAGAGGACCAGTTAATCATAGCATATGCGTTTTTGGCCCCAAATTGCTCTTATTTTTTTCAAACATGAGTATTTCCTACTTCTGATTCATGTTTTTCCAATACCACCTTCAAAAAAAGAAACAGATGAAAAAAATGTATCCACACAAGTAAAAAAGATGTCAATACATTTCATTCCACTGCTTGGTATTCCCAATTTTGACAGGCAAACTGTGCACCTGCAAGAAAAGCAGGGGAGGGGGGAACATAGATTAAGCAACTGAACACAATCCGTGAAGATATTATGTAGGATTTGTTATCTCATAACAGCAGTGTTTATAAACACCCCTCCCCAATTACCTCTACAAGGTAACTTTTACTTGTTCTAAAAACTGAAACTGAAAGCATTTCAGAACTGGTTCTTTTAAACAGCAATTATCAGTCCTTTCTTCTTCTCCTCCCCCACCGCCCCAACAACTCTGAACTTTTGGCAGCCACATGCCATTTACACCAGGGAGGCAAACCCCTTCCAAAAGAAATGCTTATACTTATACATTTATATGTTATGTTCATGCTTATACTAGTTTTCTCATACATGCTTGACAAACTAAATAAATAAATAAAATAAATAATAAAATAAAATACCCACCACTCTTTCTTACCCCACAGGCCAAAAAACAAGAGAGTCGCTTTTGCAAGGCAAGACTGTCATAGCAAACATGACATATTGACTGTTTTCCCCAAAATAAGACATTATCCCCTGATAATAAGCCCAATCGAGCTTTTTGAGCGCATGGCAATACGAGCAAGTGCTTATTTCAGGATTAAAACATATATATGACAGGGTCTTATTTTTGGGGAAATACAATAACCATCCATCCATCCATCTACCCTGTTTCCCCCAAAATAAGACATCTCCTGATAATAAGCCCAATTGGGCTTTTGAACGCATAGCAATAAGGCTAAGTGCTTATTTCATGGTTAAAAAAAGACAGGGACTTATTTTCGGGGAAACACGGGTATCTATTTTATAACATGAACGGATAGGGATGGTTATATTCTTTCAAACACAGGCAAATCAATTGGGGGAAACGGACACACAACTGATGGGCAAATTTTCTCAACTCCCCTCCCGGATTTTTTAAAAAATCAGGGGAAACACGGGTATCTTATTTTATAACATGAACGGATAGGGATGGTCATATTCTTTCAAACACAGGCAAATCAATTGGGGGGGGGGACGGATAAACAACTGATGGGCAAACTTTCTCAACTCCCCATCCCTGATTTAAAAAAAAAAACACACACACACACACACAAAAAAGAGGGTGGAGAAATTAAAGAGAGATCAAAGAGAAGCGCAAAACTGGGGAGCCCTTGATGGGCATCGTCGCTGGCCAAGGTTGGCTTGGGTGGAGAAAGAGAGAGAGAGAGAGAAAGAGAGAAAGAGAGAGAAAGAGAGAGAAAGAGAGAGAAAGAGAGAGAAAGAGAGAGAGAAAGGGAAAGAGAGACAGAGAGAGAAAAAGGGAGAAAGAGAGAGAAAAAGGGAAAGAGAGAGAAAGAGAGAAAGAGAGAGAAAGAGAGAGAGAGACAGAGAGAAAAAGAGAAAAGGGAGAGAGAGAGAGAGAGGAGAGAGAGAAAAAAAGAGAGAAAGAAAGAGAAAAAGAGAGAGAGAAAGGGAAAGAGAGACAGAGAGAAAAAGAGAGGGAGAGAGAAAAAGAGAAAGAGAGAAAGAAAGAAAAAGAGAGAGAAAGAGAGAGAGAGAGAGAAAGAAAGAGAGAAAAAGAGAGAGAGAGAAAGAGAAAAAGGGAGAGAAAAAGGGAGAGAGAGAGAGAGAAAGAGAGAGAAAGAGGGAAAAAGGGAGAGAGAGAGAGAAAGAAAAAGAGAGAGAGAGAGAGAGAGAGAGAGAGAGAGAGAAAGAGAAGCCCGGGAGGCTCTTCTCTCTGTGGGGAAAGGAACTTTCCCTGGGAAACTTTCCCATCCTCTCTTTTGACGACCGCCCGGAGCGGCTCCCGGTGGCGGGACGGGGAATCCGGACCTCCTTCGCCTCTTCAACCAAGCGCCCCCATCTCTCTCTCAGGAGGGGGAAAAGCCTTTCAAGATGCCCCGGCTGAGAGAGACAGAGAGAGGAGAGAGAAAGGCCCCAAAAATAAAAGGGGGGGGAAAAAAGGGGGGGCGGTTTTGGAGAAGCGGCCAGGCAGGGGAAGCCGAAGCGGGAGGGCCGCGGCCCAGAGGCGGCGCCTCAGCTCTTCTCCCACCGCCGCCGTCGCTTCCCCGGAGGTTTTTATTTTATTTTATATATATATATATATATATATTTTTCCGGCTGGGAAAAGGCGGCCCGCGCGAGCCCCCGCCCCCGGGCTGAGGCCTAACCCGCGACGTCGGCCCGAGCGCGGCCTGCCAGAGTCGGGCGCCCCGGAGGCCGTGAGGAGAAGAAGGAGCGAGGAGGCCCAAGCGCGGCTGGGCTCGGGGCGAAGGAGGCCGCTTGCACCTGCCGCGCGGGGGGACGTCGCGAGGGCCCCCGCGGAAAAGGCCTGAGGGGGGGAAAGAAGAAGCCCGCGCGGGGGGCCTTTCTCTCTCTCTCTCTCGCCGCCGGCTCTGAGGCGATTTTCGGCCTGACTCTCCCCGGAGCCCTTCCCCGCTTTTTTTTCTTCCCCCCCCCTCTTCCCGCCGCTTCTTCGCCTCCGCCCGGGGCCGTCCGAAGCCCCGCGGCGGCTCCCGAGCCTTACCGGGGCCTAGGAGAGGCGGAGCCCAGGCGCCTCAGGCCAGACGGCAACGAAGACCCAAACTGACACGGCGGCCATCTTGGGTCCGTAGCGCTGCGGAGGGCGGAGAGGCCCTATGGCAGCGGAACAGCCTGGGCGGAGGGGGAGGAGCCGGCCGCGGGGGAGGGGTGTGGGAACAGCCTCTCCGACACACACACACACACAGAGAGAGGGAGGGAGAGAGAGAGGAGGGGGAAAGAGCGGCACGGAACTGCGAGCAGGAGGAGGAGGAGGGAGGGGCAGCGGGTTGAGGGAGCAGCCACGCTCTCCGTCTATGTGTGTGTGTGCGCGCGGTTTGGAGACGGAGGGAGGGAGGGAGTGCGCGGTTCTGCGCAGGCGCAGAGCTCCCGTTTGGCAATCTGCTGGCGCCGAAGGATGGGAGGGGGGAAGGCTGTGGATCGCTCCTTGCGCGTTTACTCCCGAGTAAGCCGCGGGGCGAGGGAAGCTGACAGCAAGGTGGTGGGAATGGGGGGGTGGGGGTGGGGGTTGCGCAGCGGCCTTCTCTTTCACCTGCGCGGTTTTACCCCCTGCGATCCAAAGGAGCGCAATCCTGAAGCCAAGCCAGACGCGCATCGGCCAAGCGGTGTTTGCGCGGGCTTTTAGGGTAGTCAGTTCGAGGCGTGCTTGCCGGCCCCCCCCCCCCCTGTTAAGAGGGCATCCCTAGCTTTGCAAGCGCCCTGCGATCCTATGCTTACACGCAGGAGTAAGCAACGTTTCCCCTCTTCACCGGATCTCTTGCATCTTCCAGTAGGGTTAAAATTTACCTACATCAGACTCGGTTTCAGGAGCAGGGTTTTTTTTGCAGGTAGTCCTCGACTTACAACCGTTCGGTTAGTGACCGGTCCAAAGCCACCGCGGGGCTGAAAAAGGTGACTTGCGACCGTTTTTTTTTTCATAGTTACGACCTTTGCGAGCGTCGTCATGGTCGTCCCGAAGGTGCTTTTTTTCAGGAGGCAACTGGACTTTCCTAGGTTTTTCTATTCTATATTCTGTTCTATTCTATATATTCTTTATTCTGTTCTATTCTATTCTATTCTATTCTATTCTATTCTATTCCATTCCATTCCATTCCATTCCATTCCATTCCATATTTTCTATTCTATTCTATTCTATTCTATTCCTGTTCCTATTCTATTCTATTCTTCTGAGAAAAAAAAGATACAGATACAGATTAACAGAGTTGGGAGGGATCTCTGAGGTCATCTAGTCCAACCCCACAGCCCAAGCAGGAGACCCTTCACCATTTCCGACAGAGGGCAGTCCAGTCTCTTCTGGAAAGCCTCCAGTGATGAAGCTCCCACAACTTCTGAAGGCAACTTCTGTTGATTGTTCTCACTGTCAGAAAATTCCTTATTTCTAGGTTGAATCTCTTCTTGGTCAGTTTTCATCCATTATTCCTTGTCTGGCTTTCAGGTGCTTTGGAAAATAGCTTGACCCCCTCCTCTCTGTGGCAGCCCCCCAAATATTGGAAGATGCTCTCCTGTCTCCCCTGGTCCTTCTCTTCACTAGACTGGCCATGCCCCGTTCCTGCAACCGTTCATTGTATGTTGTAGTCCCCTAATGACCACGGAGACGTCTTCGGACAGCGCTGGCTCTTCGGCTTTGAAACGGAGATGAGCACCGCCCCCTAGAGTCAGGAACGACTAGCACATATGTGCGAGGGGAACCTTTACCTTTATGTACCAGTCCAAAGGAAGGGGAGCATTAAAGAATTAAACCTAAGCTTTAAAATTCGCCTGTTTGAGCTGGCAAAATATCACGCTTTTAGCACACAAAATCAAATAACGGTAGCACAGGAATTTCCAAACCAGAGAATTCTGGATGCCTGGAACAAAATCAAAACAGACTTCGTTTGTAGAGGACTGTATTACGTTTGCCATCTTCAACATGAATGGGCAGGCTGGCTCTTTAAAGTATAATATTCTTGGGGAACGTGGCTTAACAAGAATTTTTTTCTCTGGCTGAATTCCTCCCCACCCATTCTTGGACGGGCAGAAAACTAGACCAGCCTGAATTTTTTCCTTGCCAGCCCACGTCCAGCCCTTCCTTCCTCCATTCCCAGGGACCGCCTTGACTATTTTCCAAACCTTGGATGCCAAAGGCAAGCAGATTTCTACACCATTCGAGGTTGTTCTTGGTCAGAAGCAGAAAAGATCAACATCACCAACAACAAAAAATTTATTATGGCAGAAAGTACCACATATACCTGAGTTATAATAAAAAAATGGTACAAATAATATATATATCAGAGGTCCCCAACCTTGGCAACTTTAAGACTTGTGGACTTCAACTCCCAGAATTCCTCAGCTAGCATACCTGAGTTATAATAAATCGATCACCTGAGTGCTAGAGATGTGGCTACAAGCAGGGAACATTCTACCACATGTGGTGGACCTGTCCCAAGGCTGGAAAATATTGGTGTAAGATAAGAAAATGGTTCGAAGAGATAATTGATCAGAGGATAGAATTGAAGCCGGAATTATTTCTTTTGGGTATTTTTGATGGGAAAATGGGTAAAAAAAACTACAAAATGTTACATATATTAACGGCAAGCAGAATCGTCTTCGCACCGAATTGGAAACAGGCTGATACTCCTCCAGATCAAATGATAATAAGGAAAATTTACGAATTTACGGCCGAAGAGGTTGTAGGAAAAAAAATGCCTTTAAAAGCCTCTGACGATCCCAGCTGAGTTGCCTGATCGTCAGAGGCTTTTTTTTTTTTAAAGCAAACAAAAAATAAATTGTTTTATTCTTTAGCCTATCCCTGAAGTCATTCCCACCAACGGCCATCCATTGCTTCGTTGTATTAGTTTATGGAACAAGCAAACCTTAAATCTTCTTAATTTCCCACTTAGCAGTTAGACGCTGCAAACACTGCCAAGGGAGAGAAGGATAGGGAAATTTTTTGGAGTGTGCCGTTCGAGCAGTCATCTGGAATGCGGCCATTCAGGTTACGGTAAACTACCTTTTGAGACGATGCCAGCTAATTCTCCGCGAAAGGCTGAGCTGAACTTTAATTCCGGATTAGGTGTCCTGCAATAAGTCAAAAACGATCTTACTTCTTTTATAGACACGTCCACTTGACTCCTTACAGTAGGCTAAAAAGTACTGTCGTTTGTACAGGGAGTCCTTGGCTTACAGCCATTTGTTTGGTGCAGTGGTGAAATCCAATTTTTTTTACTACTGGTTTCTGTGGGCGTGGCTTGGTGGGCGTGGTGTGGCTTGGTGGGCGTGACGGGAAGGATACTGCAAAATCTCCATGCCCTCCCCACTCCTTTGGGAAGGATACTGCAAAATCTCCATTCCCATCCTACTCCTGGGGGAAGGATACTGCAAAATCCCCATTCCCACCCCACTCCTGGGGAAGGATACTGCAAAATCCCCATTCCCACCCCACTCCTGGGGGAAGGATACTGCAATATCCCCATTCCCTCCCGACTCCTGGGGGTAGGATACTGCAAAATCTCCATTCCCACCTCACTCCTGAGGGAAGGATATTGCAAAATCCCCATTCCCTCCCCTCTCCTGGGGGAAGGATACTGCAAAATCTCCATTCCCACCCCACTCCAGGGGAAGGATACTGCAGAATCCCCCTTCTCACCCCACTCCAGGGGAAGGATACTGCAAAATCTCCATTTCCTCCCCATTCCTGGGGGAAGGATACTGCAGAATCCCCATTCCCTCCCCACTCCAGGGGAAGGATACTGCAGAATCCCCATTCCCTCCCCACTCCTAGAGGAAGGATACTGCAAAATCCCCATTCCCTCCCCACTCCTTTGGGAAGGATACTGCAAAATCCCCATTCTCACCCCATTCCTGCGGGAAGGATACAGCAAAATCTCCATTCCCTCCTACTCTGGGGCCAGCCAGAAGTGTCATTTGCTGGTTGTCCGAACTACTCAACATTTCCGCTACCAGTTCTCCCGAACCTGCTGGATTTCACCCCTGGTTTAATGATTGAAGTGACAACAGCACTGAAAAATGGAACTTATGACTGTCCATGGAGATTCTCAGTCCTCCAGATCATGGTTTTTTCCAGGAGGCAACTGGACTTCCTCGGTTTTTCTTTGAAGACGTTTCGCTTCTCATCCAAGAAGCTTCTTCAGCTCTTCAAAGACAAACCAAGAAAGTCCAATTGGCTCCTGAAAAAAAAAGCACCTTTGGGGAAACAACCATGACGTGGAAGACTGAGAATCTCCAGAGACATTTGGCTATGCACAAGAGTTGAAGAAGCTTCTTGGATGAGAAGCGAAATGTCTTCAAAAAAAACCAGAAAATCCAGCTGCCTCTTGAAAAAAAAGCACCAGTTTGGGGTAACTTATGACTGATTTTCACCCAAACCATTTCAGCATCTCTCTGGTCACGGGATGAAAATTCGGATGCTGGTCAACTTGTTTATGACCGTTTGCTGTGTTCTAGGGATCACTTGATCCCCTTTTGCGACCTCCCGACAACCAAAGTGAACGGGGAAGCCAGATTCACTTAACAACCGTGGTCTCACTCAACAACCGCACGGATTCCCTTAAACGCTGACCCCCCCACCCACCCTCAAATTTCCACCTCTAAGCCAGGCAGTTGTTAAGTGAGTTTTGCCCCCAAGGGGATTTGGGCATCCAAGGGATTTTTTCCCGAGATTCTCAGGTTCAGGATGGAGGTTCGGTACCCGGTCGGTCGCTGTGGCACGGCAAGAGTTAACTTAAATGGCAAGCTGCCACTTCAGGGCACCAGCTGCTCTTGCGTCCTCGGATTCCCAAGGCCCTGGGGATAGCTTAACCGTCTCATAAACTTGGTGGGTAGTGGAGGCCAGGCCTTGCATCATTAGCGTGGGGGGTGGGAGGTGGGAGGTGTGGGGGGCAGGCAAGGGGCCTCTGTTGTAAGCACAAAGAAGTCCCTCCGTTCTGTTGTTGAGCTACCGTCTTGTCCCGGGATCTGCGGGATCCTGTGATGGTTTAACCCGGTGGGACGAGAGAGGGTGGGGGGAAGCAAAAGTTGTTCCCGCTGCATCCTCCTTGGCTAATGATTTGAGGCCGGGAAGCTGCTGCCGAAGATTAAATTGAATTGTTCCCAGGCTTAATGGACGGCTGTCAGTCTTCCTTTATCTCTTTCGGTCGTGGAAGAAGCCACTTCTTTGATTGTTCCTGTTGCTCCTTGCTCCAACTACTCTTGTCCCCCTGCCCTTCCCTCTTCTCCTCTCCCCTTCCCTTCCTCCTCTCCCCTGCCCTCCCTTTTCTCTTCTTCTCCTCCTGTTTTCTCCCTTATCTCCATTCTTCCTCTTTCCTTTCCCATTCCTTTCTTCCTCTTCCCTCCCCTTCCCCCTTTCCTCCCTTCTTTCCTTCCTTTCCCCTCCCCTCCCCTCCCCTTCCTTTCCCATTCCCTTCTTCCTCTTCCCTCCCCTTCCCTCCCTTCTTTCCTTCCTCTCCCCTTCCTTTCCCCTTCCTTTCTTCCTCTTCCCTCCTTCTCCTTCTTCTTTTCCTCACTCTTCCCTCCCTTTCCCTTTCCCATTCCCTTCTTCCTCTTCCCTCCCCTTCTTCTTCCTCTTTTCCTCCCTTCTTTCCCTCTCTCTCTCCTTTCCCCCTTTCCTTTCTCATTCCATTCTTCTTCCCTCCTTTTCCCCTTCCCCTTTTCCTTCCTTCTTTCCTTCCTCTCCCCTCCCCTTCCTTCTTCCTCTTCCCTTCTTCTTCCTCTTTTCTTCCCTTCTTTCCTTCCCCCTCCTCCCATTCCTTTCTCCTCTCCCTCTCTCCTTTCCTTCCCTCCTCTTCCACTGCTGTTTTCGTCTTCTCTTCTTCTCTTTATTCCCCTCTCCTCTACGTGCCTTCCCCCCCCTCCCCCGGAATTCAGCTACCTGTGATGCGACTCCTTTTTCCCTGGTCCAAAAGTGGCTCTTGCCACGAGACGCAGAGACCATGGTGACCTGTCCAGGTAAGAGCCGTGACACACGCTGGAGGTCAGGCCCGAAGGACATGGATGCACAATCCACAGGCAAAGAGACCTCCAGCCCCTACGGACCAGCAACAGGGAAAGGCCATCGCAGAATTAGGAGCTGAACTAGACTCCTCCAAAGAGCCTTGGTAGTACAGTGGTCTAAGGCACCCTGTTATTAAGCTGGTTATTAAGACCAGCTGCCTGCAATTACTGCAGGTTCGAATCTCGCCAAGGCTCAAGGTTGACTCAGCCTTCCATCCTTTCTAAGGTGGGTGAAATGAGGACCCAGTTGTGGGGGCAATAAACTGACTTTGTATGAATATACAAAAGTATGAAGGCTATTGCTTAACGCATTGTAAGCCACCCTGAGTCTCCGGAGAAGAGCGGCATATAAATCAATTTTTTTTTAAAAAAGTCAGCTTTGGGGCTGGCTGGCTCAGACCCTCCCTCCCTCTCATTATAACCTTCCTTCCTTCCTTCCTTCCTTCCTTCCTTCCTTTCTTCCTTCCTTTCCTTCCTTCCTTCTTTTTCTTCCTTCCTTCCTTCCTTTCCTTCCTTTTCTTCCTTCCTTCTACTTTCTTTCTTCCTTCCTTTTCTTCCTTCCTTCCTTCCTTCCCTTCCCTTTTCTTTTCCTTCCTTCCTTTTCTTCCTTTCCTTCCTTTCCTTCCTTTTCTTCCTTCCTTCTACTTTCTTTCTTCCCTCCTTCTTTTTCTTCCTTCCTTTTCCTTTCCTTCCTTCCTTCTTTCTTTTTTTCTTCCTTCCTTTTCTTCCTTCCTTCCTTTCTTCCTTCCTTCCTTTTCTTCCTTCCATCCTTCCTTCCTACCTTTTCTTCCTTCCTTCCTTCGCTGTTTCCAGGGCGGCCCTGCAGGCCAGATCTAAGCCAGATCCAGCCCACGGCCTTTTGAGTTTGACACCCCTGGTCTAAAGCTTCCTTTACGGGGCCGCGCTCTTCTCTGAGAAACTATTAGGAGCAGGGCTACCCTCACTACTCATGGATTTCCTGGGCTTGCAAAAGACTCAGAGGCGGCCGATTTGTCAGGCAGCTTGCAATGCTAAATATTTCCCAGCCTGAAAACAATATCTTGAAATCTCCGCTGGTAATTAAGGCTTGCTTTTTTTCAAAAGCTCACTCAAAAAAAAAAAGAGAGCGCAGTTTTCATCCGCCTGCCAAAAAAGAGGGGGGGGCGGCTAACGGGACCTCCGGGAGAAGCTGTTACCTATAGGGAAAGAAGGCCATCTACCATCTGGCCTGATGTCCTAGGGGACCCATAACAACCCCTCCGAACTAGATTGTGGAGGGCGCTGGGATGGACGTTTCCCACAAGGGCTGCTCCTCGCGGTCAATCTGGCCAGCCTTCCCTCTGGCTAACCAACGGGGGGCGGGGGGGGGTTAAAGCCAGCTAGACCTGCCCCCCCCCTCCATTTTGTTCCTATTCTTCTCTTTTTCCAGGAGGGCCCACACAGTCAAAAAAAAAACTCAAAACGTTAACCATGACGCTGCGATCAGATCAGAGGTGGGTTCTCAGCAGGTTCTGACCAGTTCGGGAGAACCGGTAGCGGAAATTTTGAGTAGAGAGAACCGGTAGTAAAAAAATTCTGACTGGCCCCGCCTTCATCTAATTCTCTGCCTCCTGAGTCTCAGCTGATTGGGAGGAAATGGGGATTTTGCAGTAACCTTCCCCTGGAGTGGGGTGGGAATGGAGATTTCCCAGGATCCTTCCCCGGGAGTGGGGTGGGAATGGAGATTTCACAGGATCGTTCCCCTGCCACGCCCACCAAGCCATGCCACGCCCACCAAGCCACACCCACAGAACCGGTAGTAAAAAATTCTGACTGGCCCCGCCCCATCTATTCTCTGCCTCCCAAGTCCCAGCTGATTGGGAGGAACTGGGGATTTTGCAGTATCCTTCCCCTGCCACGCCCATCAAGCCATGCCACGCCCACCAAACCGCACCCACAAAACCAGTAGTAAAAAAATTTTAAACCCACCACTGGATCAGATGTTGAGACTCTGGAAAGAGTGCAGAGAAAAGCAACAAAGATAATTAGGGGACTGGAGGCTAAAACATAGGAAGAACGGTTGCGGGAACTGGGTATGTCTAGTCTAAAGAAAAGAAGAATTGGGGTGACATGATAGCAGTCTCCTAATATTTGAGGGGCTGCCTCTTCTTTAAGAGGGGGTCCACCTATTCTCCAAAGCACCAGAAGGTAAGATAAGAAACAATGGATGGAAACTAATCCAGGAGAGCAGCAACCTGGAATTAAGGAGAAACTTCCTGACAGTCAGAACAATTAACCAGTGGAACTGCTTGCCACCAGAAGTTGTGAGAGCTCCATCACTGGAGGTTTTTAAGAAGAGACTGGCACATATGTGCGAGGGGAACCTTTACCTTTACCTTACAATTTTTTTAAAAAAACACTACATCATTTGAAAATAAAGGAATAATTTTAGTCGCTGGGCAAGAATACCATAACAGAAAGGAGCTGACGGAAAGCTGTGGCACATTCTCACTGCCTGTCTTACTTGACCACGGAAATTTTGGGTTTAATTGTGGTTCTAAGTTGAGGACTGCTCCCTGTATAGGCAGTCCTCGACTTACAACCGTTCCTTTAGTGACCATCCAGAGTTACAGCAGCACTGAGAAAAGTGACTCACGACCATTTTTCACACTTACGACCGTTGTCCGGCATCCCCATGGGTCCGTGATAAAGTCAGACGCTTGGCAACTGACAGGTATTTATGATGGTTGCAGAATCCCAGGATCATGCGATCCCCTTTTGCGACGTCTGTGAAGCCAAGTCAATGGGGAAGCAGCATTCACTTAACGACCGGGTTATTCACTTAACAACGGCAGTCATTCACTTAACCACCGTGGCAAGAAAGGCCATAAAATGGGTCAAAACTCAATTAAGAACCCTTCTTGCTTGACCACAGAATTTGGAGTGGGGGGGGGAGGCGTTCCATTGTGGTCGTAATTCGAGGACTCCCTCTCCTGACGCTGTTAACGGCTTAGGGAGGCTTGAGCTCTGACCCACCCAAGAGGGCTTGTGCAGTGGGAACGACGACCCCGCTAAGCAGCAACCTATGCCCGTTTTCTCCTTTTGTACCTACTCGGTCGTAAACCGAGGATTAGAACAGGGCGCAAACGTCCCCAACCCTCACCCACTGGCCTACATGCGCATGCGCAGCCCGCCCGTCACATGCCGCCTCGCGCTGAGGGCTAAATTCAGCCGACCGCGTAGCAACCGCCCCGTTGCTATAGAGCCGCGGAGACCCGCCTCCCGTTGGTTCGCGCGAGCTTTTCAAGCCCAGCCAATCACTGGCTCCGTTTTTCCCCTCGGCTCAGCGTTCACCGGCCTGCCGGGCTGTCACTCGGAATCGATGCCGGGACTTGCCCGGCCAATCGATGGACGGCATTAAAAGGAGGCCCCGCCCTATCCCGGCGACACCGGTTTCTGTCAATCGGAGCTGTCAAAGAACCGGCGGCGACGCGGGATAGGAGGAAGGAAGGGAGGGGGGGAGTCCTCCGCTGGCCAATCAGCGGCGAGGGTGGGTGGCTTCCGAGGGATCTATTCTCCCACCCCTCCTCCAAAATCAGGCTTCATTTGAGGAAGCTGTGGCTGCGATGCGGAGGAGGTGAGAAGGGGGGAAATGGGGACGGAGGGGGGCGCTCTGGGGGAAGGCGAGCTTGTGGAGGGGTCTCCTGCCTGGCTTGGATCTTCTGGGTTGAGATCCGTGGGAATCCCTTGCAAAAAGAAGACGGTCGATTTGATGGGATCTGGTTTCTGGAAGCACCAGGTCCTGGTTCCTAGATCTGAGCTAAATTTAATATCATGGTTCTTTGAATAAGCCAGGATGGGCTGGCTTACCACAGCCTGCTAATAAGCCACAAATAAACTGGCTTTGCACAACCTGCTTAATAAGCCAGGATGAACTGGTTTTGTGCAGCCTGCTTAATAAGCCAGGATGAACTGGTTTTGTGCAGCCTGCTTAATAAGCCAGGATGAACTGGCTTAGCGTAGCCTGCTAATAAGCCACAAACAAACTGGTTTTGCGCAGCCTGCTTAATAAGCCACAGATAAACTGACTTTGCACAGGCTGCTTAATAAGACACAGCTTCAATCAAGGAGCCCTCAAGCAGTCGCATTCATGACAAGCCATGCTTGAAATAGATAACTTGAAATGATCTATACTAGTCTCCCTTTATTTCTTTATCAGTGAAATATAAATTAGATAGATAGATAGATATAGATAGATAGATAGATAAATAGATAGATAGATATAGAGATAGATAGATAGAGATAGAGATAGATAGAGATAGATACATATAGATAGAGATAGATAGAGATAGATAGATATATATATAGAGAGAGAGAGATATAGAGATAGATATAGAGATATAGACAGATAACGATAGAGATAGATAGAGATAGATAGATAGAGATAGATAGATAGAGATAGATAGATAGATATATAGAGAGAGATAGAGAGAGATAGAGAGATATAGACAGATAAAGATAGAGATAGATAGAGATAGATAGATAGATAGAGATAGAGAGATTTTTTTATTTTTTAACAATGTAAAACAAAAAAAAATCAATATCTATATAAACAGTGTGCTGTCTGAGTACAATTGATTTTGAGAGAGACCTTCGTCCCACATTATTGCCAGTGATTTTGTTGGCAGCTAAATAAAAAATTATTTATTATTGCACGCTTGGCTCAGGAAATTCTGATTGTGGCGGAGAACCTGAAGGAAAAAAACAGACATAAGAAATCCTAGGTGCTTGTGTGTTTTTGTGTGTTGATTTTTAGACCTGCGAAGTCTTAGAGCACGAGTTGATCTCTCCGCCAGCCAGTGGTCCTCAAACGGGTGGGCCTTCTTCTGGACCAGCAATGATTCACAGCCTTTTCCTCATTAACTCCTCCGGAGACATTTTCCTGGAGAAACACTGGAAGAGCGTGATCAGCCGTTCGGTTTGCGACTACTTCTTCGAGGCTCAGGAGCGGGCGTCGGAGGCTGAAAATGTGCCCCCGGTGATTTCCACCCCTCACCATTACCTTCTGAGCGTCTATCGGCACAAGATCTTCTTCGTAGCCGTGATCCAGACGGAAGTCCCACCGCTTTTCGTCATCGAGTTTCTCCACCGGGTGGTGGACACGTTTCAGGTAGGCGGAATCTTCCAGGGGATTGAGGATTACTGCACACGAGTCTGGCTTTTCAGGATTCAGAAGCGGATAACCGGTTTCAGACTCAGATTAACAAAGGTGGAAGGGACCTTGTTAGGTCATCCAGTCCAACCCCCCCCCCCTCCAAGCAGGAGGCCTGTTCTGACCTAGGCTTCCCAAGAGCATGAAGCAGACTCCTTATCCCGACAAAAAAAACCCTTTTTATTAAGTTACTGTGAATTCCTCTCGTTCACATCCAGCAAAGTCTTTCAAGGGAGAATTTAGAGTCACAGACCTTATCTGGCCAGGCCGATATCTTCAAAACTTGGCAAGGAGTCTCTGAGAGTCATGAACCAATTAAGTGAACTAATTGTCTCCTGCAAACTCCATTCCCCTTTTGCTCCTCTTTTATTCCCTCTGGGAGGGGCCATTCATCGTCCATCTGTGGCCTTACTCCTGAGTCGGCCCTTGTTCCTTAGCTGTTTCCTTCTCCTAGCAGTTTTGTGCATGCGCACACTGGGAACAAGCTCCAGCTGTCCTTCTGCCCCACTGATGTCCGACTCCAAAGGCAGCTGATAACTGTCAGATGGCCCTGGCCCCCTCTCTGCCTCCGACGCAGAGCCCTCATCCGAGCCTTCTCCAGACTCCAGGACTGGCCCATGTTCCTCCCCAACCTCCTCACTCTCCGAGTCTGCCATCAGCTCCGCTGGCGGGCCACAACAAGACCTTACCGAAAAACGTAGCGTGCCAGACGCATGAGAAATAAAATTCACAGAGGGTACAAGAATGCATGCATTGAAAGATGACAACGACGGAAAGAGAAACTGAACTGTGGTTAACCATGGCTAGGAGGAGGAGGGGAACGTAGGGAAATCACGTGTTGCCTTGTGATGTTGGATTATGCAATGTGACTGACAAATGCATTGCTTCTAACATTATTGGGGATAAGAAATAACGGTTGTAAAAACATCATCGTTGTGAGAAATATTATCGCTAGGAAAGGATTATTGTGACCAAAAAAGCGTGATTTTTTATCATACCCTGCTGTGTACACTGGATACATGTGCTGGCTTTTTATATTTTGGGGAAAGTTTGGCTCCCTTTCCTCCTTCATGTTTCATTTGTTTCCTTTCTTTTATGTCCCCTCCTGAACTTCAGGTTCTGTAAGGGTACGATTTTTGTTGTTAGTTGCGAAGTCGTGTCCGACCCATCGCAACCCCATGGACAATGTCCCTCCAGGCCTTCCTGTCCTCTACCATCCTCTGGAGTCCATTTAAGCTCACGCCGACTGCTTCAGTGACTCCGTCCAGCCACCTCGTTCTCTGCCGTCCCCTTCGTCTTTTGCCCTCCATCGTTCCCAGCATTAGGCTCTTCTCCAGGGAGTCCTTCCTTCTCATCAGGTGGCCAAAGGATTTGAGTTTCATCTTCAGGATCTGGCCTTCTGAGGAGCAGTCAGGGTTGATCTCCTCTAGGACTGACTGGTTGATCTCCTCTGGGACTGATCAAAGTCCAGATATTTTTGTTAGTTGCGCAGTTGTGTCTGACCCATCGCAATCCCATGGACAACGTTCCTCCAGGCCTTCCTGTCCTCTACCATCCTCTGGAGTCCATTGAAGCTCACGCCGACTGCTTCCGTGACTCCATCCAGCCACCTCGTTCTCTGCCGTCCCCTTCTTCTTCTGCCCTCCATCGTTCCCAGCATTCGGCTCTTCTCCAGGGAGTCCTTCCTTCTCCTTAGGTGGCCAAAGTATTTGAGTTTCCTTTTCAGGATCTGGCCTTCTCAAGAGCAGTCAGGGTTGATCTCCTCTAGGACTGACCGGTTGGATCGCCTTGCAGTCCAAGGGACTCGCAGGAGTCTTCTCCAGCACCAGAGTTCAAAGGCCTCCATTCTTTGGCCTTCTCAGTCTTCCTTATGGTCCAACTTTCACAGCCATCCATTGCAACTGGGAAAACTGTAGCCTTGACTATACGCGCTTTTGTTGGCAGGGTGATGTCTCTGCTTTTAAGTATGCTGTCAAGGGTATGATTACTTCTTGGCTTTGCCTGCAAAATCTCCATTCCCTCCCACTCCAGGGGAAAGATATTGCAAAATCCCCATTCCCACCCCTCTGGGACCAGCCAGAGGTGGTATTTGCCGGTTCTCCGAACTACTCAAAATTTCCGCTACCGGTTCTCCAGAACCTGTCAGAACCTGCTGGATTTCACCGCTGCTTTCCATCCCTCCATGCGTTTGCCTCTCTAGAGTGCCTCTTTTCTACTCTCCTGGTGGCAGGTTGAGAAGAGAACCTGGGAGGCAACAAAGGGAAAGTGGAACAGGTCAAACATGCCCAACTTGATCAGCCTGTTTGGCAAAAACCGAGTTACTCTGGGCACAAACTTTCATGTAAGTCCTTTGAGCCCAGGGAATGATGATTAGCATGAAGGCAGGACTGGCCTTGCCAAACCAAGAAACTATTTCAAAAGCAGCAGCGTTTTTTGGCTGCAGGATTCGGCCGTCTCCCTGATTTACAGTCCTCGACTTACAACAAGGGCTATTTTCAGGGCTGTCGTAACTTCGAACGGTCACTAAACGAACTGGCGTGCAACAGGCCTTAAAAAAAAGGGACTTATGACAGTTTTTCACACTTCGATAACTGTTGCGGCAAAATTCAGCCGAGGAATTCTGGGAGTTGAAGTCCACAAGTCTTAAAGTTGCCAAGGTTGGAGACCCCTGCCTTAAATTATACCTCCATGTGGTCTGATGATGGGATGGACCATTTCCAGCTGGTTTTAATGGTTCCCCCCGGTGCAATTCCCACCCGCCCCTCCTTTCTTATCTGCTGATCTTATCCTTTCTTGATCATGACTCATGTTCTCTTCTTTTGAAGGCCATCAATAATAGCAGTAGCCCTTAGACTTATATACCGCTTCGCAGTGCTTTGCAGCCCTCTCTAAGCGGTTTACAGAGTGAGCCTCTTTCCCCCAACAATCTGGGTCCTCATTTCACCCACCTCGGAAGGACGGAAGGCTGAGTCAACCTTGAGCCGGTCAGGATCGAACTTCCTGGCTGTGGGCAGAGTCTGCCTGCAACACTGGCTTCTAACCACTGCAGCACCAGGAAGGAGAAGGAGAAAGGGAATAAGAGGGAGGGAGGGAAGGAAGGAAGGAAGGAAGGAAGGAAGGAAGGAAGGAAGGAAGGAATAGCAATAGCACTTAGACTTATATGTCACGTCACAGTGCTTTGCAGCCCTCTCTAAGCGGTTTACAGAGTCAGCCTCTTTCCCCCAACAATCTGGGTCCTCCGTTTACCCACCTTGGAAGGACGGAAGGCTGAGTCAACCTTGAGCCTGGTGAGATTCGAACTGCCAAATTGCAGGCAGCCGGCAGTCAGCAGAAGAAGCCTGCAGTACCGCTTTCTAACCACTGCGCCACCACGGCTCATAATTTTAAATTCTCACCTAATTCCTGGGCGTTGAGTGATTCTCTCCCAAGATTTTCCCGCGGCAACCGACCGCAGAATGGAGAGCTGTTTAATTTTGCTTCTCTCTCCACCCTCCCCAGGATTATTTTGGAGTCTGCTCTGAAGTTGTCATCAAGGACAACGTGGTGGTGGTTTACGAGGTGCTCGAAGAGATGCTGGACAATGGTTTCCCCTTGGCAACGGAGTCCAATATTCTGAAGGAGCTGATCAGGCCGCCGACAATCCTCCGGACAGTTGTCAACACAATCACAGGTAGATAGTTTGCGACCGGCCTCACCTTGTCCATCAGGCTAAAATGCGCTTGGCTGATTTGTGATTTATGGAGTGGATTGAACTAGCCTGGGGAACAGTAGTAAGTTGATGGTAAAGTGGGTGGTACGAATCAGTGGTGGAATTCAAATTTTTTTACTACCGGTTCAGTGGGCGTTGCATGGCTTGGTGGATGTGGTGTGGCTTGGTGGGTGTGGCTTGGTAGGCATGGCAGGGGAAGGATACTGCAAAATCCCCATTCCCTCCCCACTCCAGGGGAAGAATATTGCAAAATCTCCATTCCCTTCCCACTCCAAGGGAAGGATACTGCAAAATCTCCATTCCCATCACACTCCAGGGGAAGGATACTGCAAAATCCCCATTCCCACCCCACTCCAGGGAAAGGATACTGCAAAATCTCCATTCCCACCGCACTCCAGGGGAAGGATACTGTAAAATCTCCATTCCAACCCAACTCCAAGGGAAGGATACTGCAAAATTGCCATTCCCACCCCACTTTGGGGCCAGCTAGAGGTGGTATTTGCCGGTTGTCCGAACCACTCAAAATTTCCTCTACTGGTTCTCCAGAACCTGCTGAATAGCATCCCTGGTACAAATCTAGGTACTGGCTCATGGTTCAGTTTAGCATGGGTTAGAGCAATCCCCGAATCCCCGGGCCTCGGATCGGTAGCAGTCCGTGGCCTGTTAGTAATTGGGCCGCACAGTTGCAGGTGAGTGGCGGGCGAGTGAGCAAAGCTTCCTCTATATTTGCAACCGCTCCCCAGTGCTGGCATCCCCACCTCAGCTCCACCTCGGATCATCAGGCATTAGATACTCGTAGAAGCCCAAATCTATTGGAAAATGTATGTGCGAGGGATGTAGGTTGGGTGCCCCTCCCCCACTCTTGTCCGTGGGGAAAAAAGTAGAACCCCTAGTAAGGCCACACCTGGAATACTGCAACCAGTTTTGGTCACCACACTACAAGAAAGAGGTTGAGGCTTTGGAAAAAGTTCAGAGAAGAGCAGCTAAGATGATCAAAGGCCTGGAGACTCAAACCTATGAAGAACTTCTTCCTCCCTTCCTTCCTCCTTCCAGGAAGCACCAATGTGGGAGAGCAGCTCCCCACAGGGCAGCTCTCGGTGGTGCCCTGGCGACGGACCAGCGTGAAGTACACCAACAACGAAGCCTACTTCGATGTGATCGAGGAGATTGACGCCATCATCGATAAATCAGGTATTCCCATCAAAGACGGCAGAAACCTCGCATTTTAAGGAAAACCACATCGCCTTTGTCCTTTGTGTGTGTGTATGTGTGTATCAAGAGGGATAGGGATAGGGATAGATAGATATAGAGATAGATAGAGAGATAGAGAGATAGAGAGATAGAGAGATACTAGAGATAGACTATATATATATATATAGAGAGAGAGAGAGAGAGAGGGAGATGATAGATAGATAGATAGATAATAGATAGATAGATAGATAGATAGATAGATAGATAGACTGAGAGATAGATAGATAGATAGATAGATAGATAGATAGATAGATAGATAGATAGATAGATAGATAGATGATAGATAGATGATAGATAGATAGATAGATAGATAGATAGATAGACAGACAGACAGACAGACAGACAGACAGACAGATAGACAGAGATAGAGAAAAATAGAGATATATTGATGGACGGACGGATGGATTGATGGACGGACGGACAGGCAGATAGATGATGGATGGATGGATGGATGGATAGATAGATGATGGATGGATGGATGGATAGATAGATGATAGATTGATAGATGATAGACAAAGATAGAGAAAGAAATAGTGATATAGATAGATGATGGATGGATAGATAATAGACAGACAAAGATAGAAAAAATAGAGATATATGGATGGACAGACGGATGGATGGATGGACGGATGGAGGGATGGACGGACAGACAGATGATGGATGGATATCGTAGATAGATGATAGATGGATAGATAGATAGATGATAGATTGATAGATGATAGACAAAGATAGAGAAAGAAATAGAGAGAGTGATATGATGGATAGATAGATGATGGATAGATAATAGATAGATAGATGGATGATAGATAGATAGATAGATGATAGAGATAGACAAAGATAGAAAAATAGAGATGGATGGATGGATGGGTAGATATAGATGGATCGATGGATGTAGAGATATTGATAGAAATAGGTAGTTAGGTAGATATATTGATATTGATATATTGATATGGTTTTCAGTCTCTTAATCTATGGAGCTTCTCAGTCCTCCAGGTCCTGGTTGTCCCAAAGGTGCTTTTTTTCCAGGAGGCAGCTGGACTTTCTGGTTTTTCTTTGCAGACGTTTCGCTTCTCATCCAGAAGCTTCTTCAACGCTGACTGGATGGTGGGGAATGGGATGAAGCAAAGGGTTAAGCCATTCCCCACCATCCAGTCAGAACTGAGGAAGCTTCTTGGATGAGAAGCGAAACGTCTGCAAAGAAAAACCAGAAAGTCCAGCTGCCTCCTGGAAAAAAAGCACCTTTGGGATTCTAGGTGCTGGATTTGCTCACTTTTCTTAGCCATGTTTCCAGCCCTGCTTTCTTCTCCCTCAGGCTGACAGCGGGACTGACCCAACCAAGCTCCTGTGCCTCAGGCAGGACTAGAACTTGGCGGTCTCTTCCAACACCTTCACTCTACCTCAGATTGCTTCTCTTGTTTAGTTTATTTCCCCTAATTAGTTAACGGTCCAGAAGTCACTTTTTCAGGGCCGTTATAAATTCAAACGGTCACTAAATGAATGGTCATAAGTTGAGGACTAGCTGCAACCTAGGGTTGTGTAGGCCAGCTCCAACGTCCTTCCTGATCTACGTGAATGATTTTTCCTTTGTTTGTGTGTGTCTGGCAGGTTCCACAATTACAGCTGAAATCCAAGGGGTGATCGATGCCTGCGTGAAATTGACTGGGATGCCTGACCTCACCCTCTCCTTCATGGTAAAAAGGAGAGGGGAAAGACCCCGCGCGCCCACCCGCTTTAACAAATTCCCCGGCTTGCCCTGCCATAGCCAACCATCAGGGTGCCAGTATCCAAAATAGGAAACCGGTCAAATCTTCCCACGAGGGCTTCTTCTTCTTCTTCTTCTTCTTCTTCTTCTTTCTTCTTCTTCTTCTTCTTCTTCTTCTTCTTCTTCTTCTTCTTCTTCCTCTTCCTCTTCTTCTTCCTCTTCCTCTTCCTCTTCCTCTTCTTCTTCTTCTTCTTCTTCTTCTCCTCCTCCTCCCCTTCTTCCTCCTCCTCCTCCTTCCTCTTCCCCTTCCCCTTCCTCCTTTCTCCCTTCTCCTTCTTTCTTCTTTTTCTTTCTTCTCCTCCTTCTCCTTCCCCTTGTCCTTCCTCCTCCTTCTTTCTTCTTTCTTCTTCTTTTCTCCTCCTTCTCCTTTCCTTCTCCTTCGTCTTCCTCCTCCCTTCTCCTTCTTTCTTCTTCTTCTTCCTCCTCCTCCCCCTTCTCCTTCGTCTTCCTCCTTTCTCCCTTCTCCTTCTTTCTTCTTCTTCTTTCTCCTCCTCCTCCTCCTTCCCCTTCTTCTTCCTCTTCCTCCTTTCACCCTTTTCCTTCTTTCTTCTTTCCTCTTCTTTCTCCTCCTCCTCCTCCTCCTTTGCATCTCTGAAGCACAGGCCCATGGGCACAGGCCCATGGGCGTGGTGTGGCTTGGTGGGTGTGGCTTGGTGGCTTGGTAGGCATGGCAGGGGAAGGATACTGCAAAATCTCCATTCCCACCCCACTCTGGGGGAATGATACTGCAAAATCCCCATTCCCTCCCCACTCCAGTGGAAGGATACTGCAAAATCTCCCATTTCCTCCCCATTTCTGGGGGAAGGATACTGCAGAATCCCCATTCCCTCCCCACTCCTGGGGGAAGAATACTGCAAAATCTCCATTCGTACCCCACTCCTGGGGGAAGGATACTGCAAAATCCCCATTCCCTCCCCACTCCTGGAGGAAGGATATTGCAAAATCCCCATTCCCACCCCACTCCTGGGGAAAGGATATTGCAAAATCTCCATTCGTACCCCACTCTGGGGCCAGCAAGAGATGTCATTTGCCGGTTCTCCAAACTACTCAAAATTTCCGCTACAGGTTCTCCAGAATCTGTCAGAACCTGCTGGATTTCACCCCTGCTTCCTACCATAGGAATAGTACACTGTTTCTCCACCTTGGCAACTTTTAAGACCCGTGGACTTCAATTCCCAGAATTCCCCAGCCAGTTGGCAGGGAATTCTGGGAGTTGAAGTCCACAGGTCTTAAGAGGCCTTAGAATAGCACCACCAGCCAAGGAACTTCCAGCTCTTTTCTCCTTCCTCTCCAGAACCCAAGATTGTTGGACGATGTCAGCTTCCATCCCTGCGTGCGTTTCAAGCGGTGGGAATCCGAACGCATCCTCTCCTTCATCCCTCCCGATGGGAACTTCCGCCTGCTCTCTTATCACGTCAGTGCTCAAAAGTAAGGTTGATGCATCCAGCGTTTTGGATTTCTCCCCCACTCTTTATGTAAGTGTTGTAACCCAAGCCCACCCCAGTAGTTAGTATTAAATGCAAACAGTTCGAAAACAAACAGACTTTATTAGAACAGCTGAGAATTAACTCATTCTCAGCCTAGTCCAAACTAAATTAAAGCAAATTCTTCAAAACACCATTCCTCAGTTTATCACCGACCTTGGGATAATTGGCAAACTGCCAAAGGCTTTTCTTGGCAAAAGTTCAGAAGCAGAAGAGGCCGACAAGAAATGAATACAGTGAAACAAGAAGCAAATCTCTCAACGTTGTTTTCCGATGAAGAGCCCAAGAGCCGTTGCTGGTCTTTTAAGCCTTCTGGGAGGGTCCTACTCCCGAGTCGTCCTCTCTACTTTAGCTGCTCCTGCCTTCTGGCAGCTCTTCTCATACATGCACTAGGAACAGGCTCCTCCTGTTCCTCTGCCTCTCTGCTGTCAGCCTCTGGAGGCTCCGGAGTCCGCACATCACTCCCCGGTGGCCCTGGCCCCATCTCTGCCTCCGGCGCAGACCCCTCATCCGGGCCTTCCCCAGCCTCCAGGACTGGCCCCTGTTCTACCTCGGCCTCATCGCTGTCCGACTCCGCTGCCAGCTCCGCAGGCTGTTTGCAGACCACAACAGTAAGGGAACAAAAGATGGCTCCGTGGAATTTTCCAGTAGAGAATTCTACCTTTGGCTTCATGCAAGTATCAGGACCGACATCATCCCCACATCTTCTTGGTACAGTCCCTTTGGACGAGTGTCCCAAACATGTCATCGTGCAGGGGTCTCCAAATTGGGCAAATTTAAGACCTGTGGACTTCAACTCCCAGAATTCCTCAGCCGGCCATGTTGGAATTCAAGCAGTTTCCTGAAAGGAACGGGTGAAGCCAGTTGTAGTGGGCTACAACTCCCTTTGCCACAATGACGCTCTTCTTTTTCCCCCTCCACAGTTTAGTGGCCATCCCGGTCTACGTAAAGCACAACATCAGCTTCCGGGACAGCAGCTCCCTCGGCCGCTTCGAGATCACCGTGGGGCCCAAACAGACCATGGGGAAGACGGTGGAGGGGGTACTGGTCACCAGCCAGATGCCCAAAGGGGTGCTTAACATGACCCTCACGCCTTCTCAGGGGACGCACACATTTGATCCGGTCACAAAGGTGAGGAAGTATAGAACCTTCAGTCGAGTCTGGTTCTTGAGTTGAGCCGCCTTTTCCTGTTGTCCGCGAAGGAGTGGCAGAACCTGGGAGTGGTGGAGTGAAAAGAGGGATCAGCCTAGAATCCTTACATAGTCACAAGCGGACTAGGCCCATCCTCTTCTTGAATTCCTGTTAGATGAGAAGATTCCTGTGCATAGGCTGTTGAGCAATAAACCGGTTTAATTGGAATCTTTTTATTAGAGGGGATTGTTCTCCTGACTGGGGTGGCTCTGGGGGTGGGGGGGTAAAGGAAGACGTGGCAACAGAGAAGATGGATCACAGGTGGTCCTTGACTTACGACTTCAATTGAACCCCACGTTTCCGTTGCTAAGCAAGACAGTTGCGAAGTGAGTTTTGACTCATTTCAAGACCTTTCTTGAAGGTTAACCGAATCACTGCCATCGTTAACTTGGCAACCTGGCCGTTAAATGAATCTGGCTCCCGCGTTGACTTTGCTTGTCAGAAGCTTGCATAAAAGTGATCACATGACACACACACACACACACAAGGACACGGCAGCAACGGGCATAAATATGAGTCAGTTGCCAAGCGTCCCAATTATGAACCATGGGGATGCTGGAATGGTCATAAGTGTGGGAAACAGTCATAAATCATGTCCCAAAGGTGTTTTTTTTTTTTTCTTTTTCAAGAGGAAGCTGGACTTTCTGGGTTTTTTCTTTTGAAGACGTTTCACTTCTCATCCCAGAAGCTTCTTCAGCTCTGACTGGATGGTGGGGAAATGGAAGGATTTATACTCCTTGCAGACAGCTGGTCATTTGCATCCTTTGAGAGAGCTGTTGAGGCGACTTGGAGGTTTATTGATGTCGTCAGGGTCACCTGAGCCAGACTTTTAACTATGCAATTTGGGATGAACCCCTTTGAATGGTGTGGGAATAGGAATGGATTTCCAGAGGAAAAATTGCAGACTACAGGAACCAGGAGTGCTACTCAGGTGACCCTGAGGACACAGATAAACCTCCAAGTAGCTTCAGTGACCCTCTAAAAGGATGCAAATGACCAGCTGTCTGCAAGGAGTATCAATCCTTCCTTTCCTCACCATCCAGTCAGAGCTGAAGAAGCTTCTTGGATGAGAAGCGAAACGTCTTCAAAAGAAAAAAACTCAGAAAGTCCAGTTGCCTCTTGGGAAAAAAGCAAATTTGGGACACCATAACCTGAATGACCGAGACTTTCGATAGACGTTTATCTTGTCATCTCTTTCTTTCTCCATCCTTCCCTTGACAGCTGCTGATGTGGGACGTGGGGAAGATCAATCCCCAGAAGCTGCCCAGTTTGAAGGGGACGATGAGTCTTCAGGCAGGGGCCTCCAAGCCTGATGAGAATCCCACCATTAACCTCCAGTTCAAAATCCAGCAGTTGGCAATCTCTGGTTTGTGACCTTCCAATTCTCTTAAATGTCTTTTTTTTTTTCCTCTTTTACTTTTTGTTTAAGGCACCCTTTAAAAGCCCCAGTTGCAATTAACCGAACGAATTTAAATGTCATTATAAACACGAAGAATGCTGAACTTGTTGATCGAAAGGTCAGCAGTTCAGCGGTTCAAATCCCCAGTGCCGCGGAATGGGGTGAGCTCCCGTTACTTGTCCCAGCTTCTGCCAACCTAGCAGTTCGAAAGCTCGTAAAAAATGCAAGTAGAAAAATAGGGGCCACGTTTGGTGGGAAGGGAACAGCGTTCTTTTTTTTTTTTTTTTTTTTTAATTTGATTTATATGCCGCCCTTCTCCGGAGACTCAGGGCGGCTTACAGTGCGTTAAGCAATAGCCTTCATCCTTTTGTATATTTATACAAAGTCAGCTTATTGCCCCCACAAACTGGGTCCTCATTTCACCTGCCTTAGAAAGGATGGAAGGCTGAGTCAACCTTGAGCCTTGGAGAGATTCGAACCAGCAGTAAATTGCAGGCAGCTGTGTTAATAACAGGGTGCTTTAAACCACTGTACTATCAAGGCTCCATGCGCCTTTGGCATTGAGTCATGGAGACGTCTTTGGACAGCGCTGGCTCTTCGGCTTTGAAATGGAGATGAGCACTGCCCCCTAGAGTCAGGAACGACTAGCACGTATATGCAAAGGGAACCTTTTATTCTTGCATTATTTTTGTTGTTCTTAAGAGACAGGGCAGCCATGTAAGTTGGAGCAAGTTTTGTACAAGGATCTGCAGCCTTTCTTAATTCCTAGAGTTGTTAAACTCTAGAGCAGGGATCTACAAACTTGGCGACATTTAAGACTTGTGGACTTCAATTCCCAGAATTCCCCAGCCAACTGGCTGGGGAATTCTGGGAGCTGAAGTCCACAAGTCTTAAACGTCGCCAAGTTTGTGGACCCCTGCTCTAGAGAAAACCTCAAAGGAAACTTCAGTCCCGTAATGGTTGGCGTTGTGAGGAATTGTTGCAAGTGGTTTTCCTCCTCTGAAGAATAAATAAATAATGATAAATAAATAATTTTATTTCTATACCGCCCTTCTCCTTCAGAGACCTTCTATCCACCCAATTTCTCCAGCCCACAATTGGCTGAAGGTGAAACGTGTCCCCAGTTTTTGCAGCCACACCCTACAACCATCTTCCACGTTGCTTCACCCTTCATGCCTCGTCTTTTCTGCTCGCTCCAGGTCTGAAGGTGAATCGTTTGGACATGTACGGAGAGAAGTACAAGCCGTTCAAAGGAATCAAGTACATGACCAAGGCTGGGAAGTTCCAGGTCCGGACCTAAGAGAACATCTGCCCAGGAGAAGACTTGTGACTTCGACTCCACCTCTGCTCTCCTCTTCCTCATTGTTTGCTCCTTGGTGTGACCCATCTGGATTTCTTCTGAGACAGGCAACTTTTCCCCCCTCCTCCCCCCTTCCCGGTTTGGTCATCCCTTCCTCCTCTAACATCTGGAGCTTCTCCGATGGCCGGCAAAGAGCAAAAAAGGAGACGTGGTAACTTCTTCTCTTTGGGCTTGTTGGCTTTCAACTTCAGCCAACCGTGTGCTTCTTCCCCCTCGTTGGCAGCCAGCGACAGCTGGATCGTTTGCCCGGCTGAAACTACAGCAGGAGAGATGCTGGAGAACCCCAAGAAGAAAAGGCACGAATAGTTGTCTAGCTTATTGCGCGGGATTCTGGTTGGACTCCAAGCCCGTCCAAGTCCCAGCCTCTCTTCGCTCAGCCTGTCCTGTTTAACTGCACCAGTGTGGACACAAACGGGAAGGTTCCTTTCTCAGATATGGGGGTCGTTGGTAATCTAGAAGTGGCATTTTAGCCCAGTGTAAATATGCTTAGCTTAGCTGTGGTCGCCAAATTTATATTTGCTGATAAAGAAATAAAGGGAGACTAGTATAGATCTATTTCCAGCTGTTTAGCTCTCATTACCTTATTTCTTTTATCAGCAAATATAAATTTGGTATAAAAGGGTTTGCCGTGAATGTGACTGCTTGAGGGCTCCTGGATTGGAGCTGAAAGGCGAAAGGGAAGCAGGATGCTCCCTCCTATATTGGGGTAGACCAGGTACTTCAACATTTACATATATATATATGTCGAAGCACCTGGTATGTATGTGTGTGTGTGTGTGTATTTGTTTTCTGAGGTTTTCGCGGGTATTTGTATGTAGGTCTTTGGTTATTCGGGTTTTCTCTCACGTAAAATTGGAGGTTTCTTGGCAACGTTTCGATGAAGTCTCATTCGTCATCTTCAGGCTGGTGTTTTCGGCTTCGTGCTTCTAGGAGCAATGAAGAAGCACGAAGCTCATAGAAGCACGAAGCCGAAAACACAGCCTGAGATGACGAATGAGACTTCATCGAAACGTCGCCAAGACACTTCCAATTTTACGCGGGAGAAAACCCAAATAACCAAAGACTACATATATATATATACACACACACACACATAACACACACACACACACACACACACACACACACACACACACACACACATACATACCGTGTTTCCCCCAAAATAAGACCGGATCTTATATTAATTTTTGCTCCAAAAGATGCATTATGGCTTATTTTCCAGTTAGGTCTTATTTTGGGGGGGAATACAGTACTAAATGCATCCATCTGGCTGACAATCTTAACTGGGGCTTATTTTGAGGGAAGGGCTTATATTACGAGCATCCTGAAAAATCATGCTAGGGCTTATTTTCTGGTTGGGTCTTATTTTCGGGAAAACGGTGTGTGTGTGTGTGTATGGATTGGAGCTGAAAGGCGAAAGGGATGCAGTATGCTCCCTCCCACATGCTGGGGCAGACCAGGTGTCTCAATAGAAAAGCACTTAATCTCTCCCCTGGCTCAAGCTGATGAAGGAAGGAGAACTTGTGGCTCAGAGGTCAATACAACTGCCTAACATGCAGGCAGCCTAAGTTCGAATCCAAGTAAGGGTATGGCTGGCTGATGAGAGCTAAATAGCTTGAAATAGATCTACACTAGTCTCCTTTTATTTCTTTATCAGCAAAATATGAATTTTATATATTCCTGGGCTGCTATGTTTACCTCTTGCATGTGCTTGATCTCTGACATGTGTTGCTGTTATACTACCATAATAGATCTGCTTTCCCCCAGTCTGGTGCCACCCCGCGGCTGCCTGGCTGTATGGCTGCTGTCCCTCGAGCTTCTCCCACTGAATCAGAATGGTCGTCCAACAGGTTTTCTCCATCCAGTCTGGGCTACAGGTTGCTCGTCCCTTTTTTTTTCTTTGGTGCAACCTCTCTTAGAGCTTCGGAGTGTCGCTCTTCTTAAAAGCATGAGCTAAATCCGAGCTGTGTGTGTTTCCATTCTGATCCGGACTCTCCCCTCTTAGCATGCTTCTGCTCTGGGAGACCCTAACAATGCCATGGGAAACTCCAGACGGGAGAGCCTGAGATCTGCCAGTAGGTTGGCCAATGCAGAGGGTGTCTGACTCTGCCAGAACATTCTGGAAACAATGACTTCGCAACTCTCTCTTTTTTCTTTTTTCTCTCCCCTCCCCTCCATTTTCTCCCTCTCCTAGTCTCCCCTTCTCCTTCCCATCCCATCCCATCCTATCCTATCCTATTCCCATCCCCTTCTCTTCTCTTCTCTTCTCTTCTCTTCTCTTCTCTTCTCTTCTCTTCTCTTCTCTTCTTCTCTCCACGCCTCCCCTCCCCTTCTCCTCTCCTCTCCTCTCCTCTTTTTTTTTTTTTTTTTTGCTTAAAGAGGGTGTGAGTTGGGATGCTGTTGCAGGACAGGGAGAAAATTACAGCCGGCCATTGCAAGGGGATGTGCCTGCCTGCCTACTTGTAGCAGCAGGGATATTTTAAAAAAGCTTCGGATTTAAGCAGGATGTAAACTGTAAATATTGCATTCTGAATAGACGTTCGTCTGAGATGTCCGTTGTTGGCTTTTGTGCATCTTGCGGTCAACGTTTAGCTCTCCTGTGGCACCTCTCTTTGGGTTACGATCTAAGAATGTTGCCGGTCTCCCCGTCTCTCATTCACATCCAGCAAAGTCTTTCAAGGGAGAATTTACAGTCACAGACCTTATCTGGCCAGGCCGATATCTTCAAAACTTGGCAAGGAGTCTCGGAGAGTCACGAACCAATTAAGCGAACTAATTGTCTCCCGCAAATCCCACTCCCCTTTCGCTCCTCTTTTATTCTCTCTGGGAGGGGCCCTTCACCATCCATCTGTGGCCTTACTCCTGAGTTGACCCTTGTTCTTTAGCTGCTCCCTTTGTCTGGCAACTCTGTGCATGCGCACACTGGGAACAGGCTCCAGCTGTTCCTCTGCCCCACTGATGTCCAACTCCGAAGGCAACTGACAACTGTCAGACGGCCCTTGTCCCCTCTCTGCCTCCAACACAGAGCCCTCATCAGAGCCTTCCCCAGACTCCAGGACTGGCCCATGTTCCTCCCCAACCTCCTCACTGTCTGAGTCTGCTACCAGCTCCGCTGGCGGGCCACAACATTTATAAGACTGAGGATTTTCCTCTGGAGCAATGCTGTTGACCTCACTCAAATTCCAATGATGGCCAGTGATGAGGGGTGTTGAGAGTTACAGGGCCAGTAGGGTCTGAAGAGCAGAGGTTGGTTCTTGCTGCTTTAATGCAGCCCGTCTTTTGGGAAATGCTGGCTGGGGAATTCTGGGAGTTGAAGTCCATAAATCTTTTCCCGAACAGTCAACTAAATCCCTTTCAGATTTGCGATCTAATGAAGAGAACTTACGGAAGGTGGTTTGGAAGAAGATAAAGGAACTCACTACGAGGGACAAGCGTTGGGTTGTCCAGAGCTGGTTGTCGCATCTGTGTGAAAAGCTGGGGAACTTTCTCCTAGTATGTGTACAGGATGGGGGATAGGAGGATGACAAGTTGACAGATTCAAAGTAGACATTCTACTTCTGTAAGGTCTAGCAGTGGTTTGCTAAAGAAGCTGAACGGATGGGTCAAAAAAATTTTGGTCCTTGTGAGTTGGAGGAGAAGAAAGATGGAGCTTGAAGCCTCCTTATGTCCTTTCCAATTTGTGTGTAGAGAAAAAACCCCTTGCCAGTTCCTTTTAATATAAAATTAACATGAATATCTCAAGGGCCAGTTGTTACCAAACGGTGGTCCTAGTATGTCTCCAGGAAAGAGAAGAAATGTTTTTCCCCAGATGACACCTGCCTTCATGAGAAAGATCTGGGCTTCAGGGAGATGATTCCTGCAGTCTTCTGAAGATGCACCATCTCCTTCGGTTCAGTAGGTGGAGGTACAAGCCCAAGAGTTGTCATGCTTTTCCCGTGAAGAAGCCAAGAGGACCTTCTGAAGAGAGGCAGCCTTGTTTGAAGGATCGAGACAGCTTTATGGCTGTCTGGCAAATAGATGGGGAAGAAATGGAGGGAGTGACAGATTTTATTTTCCTGGGCTCCAAGATCACCGCAGATGGGGAGTCCAGCCAAGAAATTAAAAGACGCTCCTGGGGAGAAAAACCATGGAAAATCTAAAAAGCAGAGACATCACCCTGCCAACAAAAGTGCATATAGTCAAGGCGATGGTTTTCCCAGTTGCAATGGATGGCTGTGGAAGTTGGACCATAAGGGAGGCTGAGCGCCAAAGAATGGAGGCCTTTGAACTCTGGTGCTGGAGAAGACTCCTGCGAGTCCCTTGGACTGCAAGGTGATCCAACCGGTCAGTCCTAGAGGAGATCAACCCTGACTGCTCTTTAGAAGGCCAGATCCTGAAGAGGAAACTCAAATACTTCGGCCACCTGATGAGAAGGAAGGACTCACTGGAGAAGAGCCTAATGGTGGGAACGATGGAGGGCAAAAGAAGAAGGGGACAGCAGAGAACGAGGTGGCTGGATGGAGTCAATTAAGCAGTCGGCGTGAGCTTAAATGGACTCCGGGAGATGGTAGAGGACAGGAAGGCCTGGAGGAACGTTGTCCATGGGGTCGCGATGGGTCAGACACGACTTTGCAACTAACAACAACAACCAGAGAGAAGGTTCAGTTTTGGGATGAGCTGCTCATTTCCAAGGGGCTTGCAGACATCCAGATGTGTTGACGACCAAGCCTGGGAACGCAATTCTTTCCACTTTCAGTCCAAAGCTCAAGATCTTTCAGTCCATCCCAGCCATTTAGATGGGCTAACAATTGTAGTTGGTTTTTATTGTCTTTTTTTTAAAAAATTGCTTCTATTTTTAGATGGTTAGTTACTTGTCTTGGGGACAGAAAGGCAACACATTGAAATAATAAGCAAAATATATCTTTGGGCAAGTGTAGGAGATGGGAATCCGAACGAATTAAGCCTTCTCCAGACCACTCTTGCTTCAATTTGGAATTAAATGTCTTGGGTTCCATTTATATGGCTAGTGGAAAGAAGAACTAAGGGAGACAAGATGGCCGTGTTCCAGTATTTGAGGGGCTGCCACAAAAGAGGAGGGGGTTAAATTATTCTCCAAAGCAGCTGAAGGCAAGACAAACAATGGATGGAAACTAATCCAGGAGAGAAACAACCTGGAATTAAGGAGAAACTTCCTGACAGTGAGGACAATTAACCAGTGGAACAGCTTGCCACCAGAAGTTGTGGGGGCTCCATCACTGGAGGTTTTTAAGAGGAGATTGGACAGCCATTTATCCAGAATGGTATAAGGCCTCCTGCCTGAGCAGGGGGTTGGACTAGAAGACCTAATTTTTACTATCGGTTCTGTGGGTGTGGCTTGGTAGGCATGGCAGGGGAAGGATACCGTAAAATCTCCATTCCCTCCCCAATCCAGAGGAAGGATACTGCAAAATCCCCATTTCCTCCCGATCAGCTGGGACTTGGGAGGCAGAGAATAGATGGGGGCGGGGCCAGTCAGAATTTTTACTACCGGTTCTCCAAACTACTCAAAATTTCCGCTACGGGTTCTCCAGAACTGGTCAGAAACTGCCGAAACCCACCTCTGGTGTGAATCCTCTGCTCCCTGCCCCATCTTAACTCAGCACCCTGAATGCTCTCTCTCCGCCCTGTCCTTAACCAGCTTCCTCTAAATTATGCCAATCTATTGATCTAATTTATATTTTTTCCCCTTCTTTCTAATCCAGTGATGGCAAACCTTTTCGGTATTCACACGGAAACATTGTGCTTGCGTGGTCGTCAGGGGCGTGCTCCGGAAAAGCTGAACTTCCGGGATCTAGCGCGCATGCGTGCCTGATGATCTCCTGGCTGCCGTGCATGTGCAGGCCAGTTTTTGGCACTGCCACGCATGTGAAGGGATCGCGCTCTGGAAAAGCCAAACTTCCGGATTCTGGCGCGCATGCGCACCAGACGATCAGCTGACCGGTGTGCGAAAACACCGGGTTTCAGCACTGCCGCATGTGTGAAGGACAGCTGATCTTGATTCCGGCCCACCAACTTGTAGTGGCCCCCAACATTAACCAGAGCTTGAGTTAACTACTTCAGGGTATGTGCAGTGATGGTGCGAGAAGGTTGCTCATTCACCGTAACCTCCATTGGCTGAGCTTTGACTGCTTCCAAATCATGAGAAAATTAACGTATGTACTATGCGGTTTATTTCATGCATTTATGTATTTATGCACCTATGTGCAATTGTGGTTTACTCGTTAGTCTGCAGATTCAGCTTCTCTAGCTTAAAACTAGCCATAGCTTGCTGTGTTGTGCAAACCACACTTACGAATCCAATAAACCATGGCTTCGTGTAACCTAACAAGTCCAGATGAAATAGTTATCCACACATAAGTGTCAGCCTGCAACTTACAACTTACTAGACCGGGGGTGTCTAAACTGGTGGCCTACGGGGCAGATGCGTCACGCGCAGGCCACACCCACCCCAGCTCCGCGAATGGGAAAAACGTCACGAAACGTCACATGGCTGCAACGTGACGCAGTGACGACGCAGCTGGCTGGAGAATTCTGGGAGTTGAAGTCCACAAGTCTTAAAGCTGCCAAGTTTGAAGACCTCTGAGTTAGACCAAGGGTATCCAACCTTGGCAACTTCCAAGGCTTGTGGGCTTCCAAAATTGCTGGCTGGGGGTATTCTGAGAGTTGAAGTCCACAAGTCTTAAAAGTTGCCAAGGTTGGATGCCCTTGTACTAGACTTATTGTTTATTAAATTTAATATCCCATCTCTAGGCGCTCCAGAAGTTCTAGGAGTTCAAATGAGTGCACGTAGTAGTCCTGTATAATGGTATGTAGGAATGAACTTGAAGAAAGAGCCACAGACTAGACAATAGTCAGATGAGAAACAGTTGAATCTGCAGAGTGAATGAGCAAACGTCTCAGAAGCGACCCACCCTAGTTGCAAAATTGTGTTCATGTAACTTTACAGTAAAGTAGAATTTTTCTCATTGAGGCATGCTTCTTGTCTGACTACCTCACAGGGATAACAGGTTCTTGTCTGAAATGGTATAGGTCCGTGATGGCGAACCTATGGCACGCGTGGAGTCTCTGGAGGCTGGGGACGACAAAAAAGTCACTTCCTGTTCAACGAAACTTGGAAAATGGGCCGTTTTGGGCCTCCGAGGGGTGGGGAAGACTGTTTTCACCCTCCCCAGATGCAGAGAGAGGATCTGGAGCCAGGTGAGAAAGAAAAACAGGCCTACTGGGCCATCGCGTGCCAGGAGTGGAGGGAGGGGGGGTCGTGATCGTGTGTGCGGGGGGGGGTGGGGCGCATAGAATTATGGGTGTGTGCACACGAACCTCCCCTGCCCCTCCCCTTCCTGGCACGCAATGGCAAAAAGGTTAGCCATCACTGGTATAGGTTCTCCTGCTTGAGCAAGGGGCTGGACTAGAAGACCTCCAAGGTCCCTTCCAGTTCTATTCTATTGCCTTGGTTGTGTTTCTCAAGGTCATTCCCACACACCATCACAGCACACATCTCCTGACAAAAGCCATTCTGTGAGGAAGGTTGAGCTGCGAGACTTTGAGTGTCCCCAGGGGTCTCCTGGGGTGGTGGGAGAAGGGGAGCTTGAGTCTTCCTGGTGCCCGGTCAATGACACATATTGTGCTGTGTTTAATTTAGAGTTCATGTGTGCAAGCCACACCACGGTGGCCTGTAAGCCATACTTTTAGTTGGTGTCTTTGTTTCAGTCAATTGTGAGTAGTTCAATAAGCCACAACTGAGTGGTAGCTCAGCATGATGTGCAAATTCTGTGTGAGCTTAAAAGAGTCGAAGCAGAGTACTTGGCCCTGATGTCACGGCCTTGATCTACCCTGTGGATTAAATTTGACGATTTGTCTTTGATTGTGCCTCCACATCTACCCTTTATTCTGGTCGCCATGATGTAAAAAATAAGTTGAGATTCTGGAAAGAGTGCAGAGAGGAGCAACAAAGAGGATTAGGGGACTGGAGGCTAAAACATGAAGAACGGTTGCTGGAACTGGATATGTCTATTTAATGAAAAGAAGACCAGGGGAGACAGGATAGCAGTCTTCCAGTATCTCAGGGGCTGCCCCAAAGAAGAGGGAGTCAAGCTATTCTCCATAGCACCTGAATGCAGGACAAGAAGCAATGGGTGGAAACTAATCCAGGAAAGAAGCAACCTAGAACTAAGGAGAAATTTCCTGACAGTTAGAACAATTAACCAGTGGAACAACTTGCCGCCAGAAGTTGTGAATGCTCCAACACTGGAAGTTTTTAAGAAGAAATTGGATTGGTCAATGACACATGTGTTTAATTTAGAGTGTCCGAAATGGTCTAGGGTTTCCTGCCTGATCAGGAGGTTGGACTAGAAGACCTCCAAGGTTCCTTCCAACTCTGATTCTACTCTACTCTACTCTCTACTCCACTCAGTGGTGAAATCCAATTTTTTTTTACTAACAGTTCTGTGGGCGTGGCTTGGTGGGCATGGTGTGGCTTGGTGGGCATGGCAGGGGAAGGATACTGCAAAATCCCCATTCCCACCCCACTCTTCCCACCCACTCCAGGGGAAGGATACTACAAAATCCCCATTCCCACCCCACTCTGTGGCCAGCCAGAGGTGGCATTTGCCGGTTCTCCGACTACTCAAAATTTCCGCTACCGGTTCTTCAGAACCTGCTGGATTTCACCCCTGACTCCACCCTACTCTCACAGTAGAGGAAACCGTCACAAAATCCAAGCGTATCTTGCAAATGCTGGCTGCCAGCAGACCCATACCAAAGCAGCTCATGCAATGATGCACCTTTTGGGCCCTGTTTGTACAAGACCAACATTACTTCCATCTCTGAGGTTTCTTTTTCCCTGCCTTCCTTTGTGAACTGGGTTGGGTGAGATGCCTGTTTCTGCTGGAGAGCAGGAGATCATCTTTAAAAGGAAGTGACGGTTGCCGAGTGCCGGGGTCACATGTCCCACTTTTGTGACCGTCTGACTAGCAAAGTCGATGAGGAGGCCAGATTCACTGAACAATTCATTAAACATATGTCTAACTAAACAACTGTGATTCGCTGGACAACTGGCAAGAAAGGTAAAATGGGTCAAAACTCACTGAACAAACGTTTCACTAAACAACAAATGTTGGGCTCAATTGTCGTAAGTCGAGGATTACCTGTACATAACTGCAGCCCTCAAGGACTGACTTGGAGAAAGGGAATTCACAGAGCAGGCTCAGTTCTACAGCATATTGTATATTGCAAACCAAAATATTTTATTTTACGTAAAAAACTGCATCTTATATAGCAGGGGTCTCCAACCTTGGCAACTTTAAGCCTGGCGGACTTCAACTCCCAGAATTCCCCAGCCAGAAAAGCTGGGGAATTCTGGGGAGTTGAAGTCCGCCAGGCTTAAAGTTGCCAAGGTTGGAGACCCCTGTTATATAGAGATATAAAAAAACCACATGCATACACAAAAACACACAAAATCACATCCATTTCCATTAAAGCCAGCTGCTCCGTGCATAAATGTCTTTTACAAACCGTGAGAATATCCTGCAAATGTGTATCTGACGCATGTAAATAAGATCATTTATTTGATAATATCATGAAGCAGCTGTGGGCATTTTACCCCTGTCCCGCTTCAAATGCCCATGCCATAGTCCAGTAAACCATACAGAAACACAGCAGGCAAACTCTGTGCGTGTCAGGTATGGTGTGATGCACAACGAGCAAAACGAGGATAACTTCAAGTAACTTAAAATAGTTTAATGCATTAAAACATACTGGAGATGATTCCCAATAGTCTTCTGGATAGCAGAAGACACCTCTTGTCACTCTGCACATCGGGAAGTGGAGTTTTGATTTTATACAGAAAACGTGGAATATTTACAGAGTATAAAAATAGTCTTTGAAGTTTTACGGAGAGAGGGGTGCTCAGTGATTAGCGATTCCTCCTTTAAATATATATATATATAAAAAAATGTTAGCAATTAATTCTACGATTTGGTTTCCTCTCAAGGATTTCTTCAGTTTTGTAGAAAAGACCTTGAAATGCTTCCCTTAATTTACAGAAAGATGATTTTTTTTCAAAAAATCAACTAGGGGAGGCATATGTGAGGGAGCCCAAGGCCAGCCCAGGCCCATCTACTCAAAGTCTCCCAAAGCAGGACTTTTCAAGAAGAATAGAGGCAGAGCAATGCTCAGATGTTGTAACAAATACAGGTACCGTATTTTTCCGAGTATAAGACGCACCTTAGTTTTTGGGGAGGAAAATAAGAAAAAAGCTGATTGGCAGGTGGATCGGCCTCCCAGAATACCCGCAATCAGCTGTTCCCAGAGGTGAATTTTAGCAACAGGTTCCTTGGTTGTGAGCTCTGTGCCTTGCTTTTTTTCCTGCCTCTGAAAGCCTCCGAAACAGAACTTCAGAAAAAAAGCCTCTGAAGCTCTGTTTGGGGGCTTCTTTTCTGAAGCTCTATTTGGGGGCTTCTTTTTCTGAAGCTCTGTTTGGAGGCTTTTTTTTCTGAAGCTCTCCTAGGAGGCTTTTTTTTCTGAAGCTCTGTTTGGAGGCTTTTTTTCTGAAGCTCTCCTAGGAGGCTTTTTTTTCTGAAGCTCTGGGACCTTTTTTTCTAAAGCTTCGTTTCTGATGCTTTTTTCAGCCTCTAAAACCTCCATTTGAGAAGCCGGGGGGGGGCTACATACTGGGTGGAGTATAAGAAACACCCAGATTTTCACCCTCATTTTTGGGGGGAAAAGGTCCATCTTATACTCCGAAAAATACAGTAATCCTCAACTTACAACAATTAGTTTAATGATCAAAGTTACAGCAGCACTGAAAAAAAGTGCCTTTTGACTCTTTTTCACATGACCATTGCAGCATCCCCATGGTCACATGATCAAAATTCAGAACTGACTCATATTTATGACGGTTGCAGTGTCCCAGAGTTACATCATCCCCTTTTGTGTCCTTCTGACAAGCAGAGTCAAGGGGGGGAGGGAAGCCAGATCCACTTAACTGGGTTACTAACTTAACAACTGGGATGATTCACTTAACAATCGTGGCCAGAATAATCTTAAAATGGGGCAAAATTCACTTAACTGTCTCGCTTAGCAACAGAAATTCCGGGCTCCGTTGCGGTCCCAAGACGAGGATTACTTGTAAGCATCCGGTCTTAGGTAGGTGTAGAAATGCTGCTTGAAAAAACACAACGCTATTGTTTTGGTCTGGTTCCTAAGCACAGCCGCACAGACCTCGAACTCGTTGTTGCAGGAGAGAGGCACCGCGCAAAGGGTGTGTCCTCCTCATGAATGACACCGGCTTCCCAGCCCAGTTTCCAATGTGTGATTCCCTGATGCAAGGAAGCCCCAAAGGACTCAGTTACGCACGTTCTTTTGGATCCAGTTCAGGTAGCGAACCACTCGTGTGTAAACCCCCGGCGTGTTTTTCTTGCCACAACCCACCCCCCAGCTGATGATACCAATTAACTTCATGCGGCCATCGTTCAGACAAACCAGGGGGCCTCCGGAGTCACCCTGCAAGGGGAAGAGAAGTCGGAGAATGAACGAGTGAGAGACAGTCGCTTGTTGTGGTCCGCCAGCAGCCTGCAGAGTCGGACAGTGAGGAGGCTGGGGAGGAATATGGGCCAGGCCCGGAATCTAGGGAAGGCTTGGACGAGGGCTCTGCGTCGGAGGCAGAGATGAGGCCAGGGCCATCTGGGAGTTATGTGCGGACTCCGGAGCTCCAGAGTCTGACGTCAGTGAGGCAGAGGAACAGGAGGAGCCTGGTCCTAGTGCATGCATGCGCAAAGCTGCCAGAAGGCAAGAACAGTTAAAACAAAAGGGATGACTCGGGAGTAAGGCCTGGAGATGATTGGCCCCTCCCATAAGGTTTAAAAGAGGAGCAAAGGCACGTGGGCCCTTTGCAGGAAAGCAGCGTTGTTAATTCTGTTCCAAGTCGGCATCTTTGTTTGATTCTGGACTCTGTGTGGCTTTGCCAAGTAAGTCTTTGGCAGAGTGTCAAGTGAGATAAATGTTGGTGATTATCCTGAAGGACTTCTCCCGGAGGACTTTTTGGAACTAATTGGGACTCAGCTGTGAATGAACGTAATTCACAGCTGTTGCAATAAGAGGTTTTTGGGACTACTCGTGTGTTTTAATGACTCAGGAAGCTTAAGTCAGAACACCGCTCTCCATAATGCCTGGCTTTCTTTTCTGAGGAAAGGACCATTGGTGACCCTCCAAGGTTTCAACGGCACTAAAAAAAAAGTGACTCGTGAGCGTTTTTCCACACTTAACAACCGTTGCAGCATCCCCGTTGGCCATGCGATCAAAACTCGGGTGCTTGGCATCCAGCATGTATTTATGACAGTTGTGATGTCCAGGGGTCATGTGATCGCCTTTTGCGACCTTCTGACATGTAAAGTCAGCAGGGAAGCCAGATTCATAGAATAACAGTGTTAACTTAATAGTTGTGGCAATTCACTTAACAACAGCGTCCAGGAAGGTAGTAAAAATAGGACAGAATTCACTTCACAACTGTCTGGCTTAGCAACAGAAATTTTGGGCTTAATTGTAGCCATAAGCCGAGGACTACTTAAGACTTGTGCATGCCTAAAGCATCATAAACTTTTTCTTTTTTCTTCTGGAGTTACTTCCAGTAATGGCCAATTACCCTAGAAAATTTGAATCCTTGTGTTCCAGGAGGAAAAAGAGAAATTCTGCACTGGGAACATTCAGCCTTCAGCATCCCTGGGGCCTGGTTATCTCCCTTCAGAAGATGCTGGACCTTCAGACCGATCCTACAAGGTTAATTCTTAAAAATTTTGGACCTTACCTGGCAGGCGTCGTGAAGTTGTCGGGTATCCCCTGCGCACAACATATTCTCGGTGACAGTCCTGTTTGCAAGTCGTGCGGAGGTACAGAAGCTGTCTGGATAGAGCCTCACGTGTCCTTCCTTCAGACGTTCTGAGTGGAAAGGCGAAGCTGTTGTGGGGGAAAAGGAACCTTGTGAAGAGAGGGAAAAGGTTCTCCTGGGTCACAAATATCCTTTTTGAGTTCATATGGTTTGCTCAACCTTAATTCTTCTTCGTTAACAAACTATATAACCACCTTCGTGTGATATTGAATGCTATATTTTAAGATAAAGAGGAGTCGATGTATTTCAAGCCATGGGAAAAATTTTGTGATTGGTTAAAAAGGAAATATGAATAAGGGTATAGAGATAAAATAGATAGAGAACAGATGGGAGAAAACAATTAAAAACAATAGATACCCAGATGATGCCAAGTAAAAGGAGAAAGGGGAGGGGGGGGTAAAAGGGAAAAAAAGTGAGATATTATAAAAATGTACGCAAATGATGAAATAAAAATAAATATTAATTGAATAAGAAATTGAAATGAGAATAAAGATAATTAGAAAATCAGGGCTGCTCGAATACCACTTTAGATTGAACTGAAAAGGGAAACAACAAGAAAGAGGGGAAGGAGTAGAGAGAGAGGAAGGGAGAAAAGAGAGAAAGAAAGGGAAAAGGAGAGGAAGAAAGGGGAGGGGAAAGAGGAGTAGAGAGAAGGTTAGAAGGGGGGAAGAAGAGAGGAGTGAGGGAAGGGAAAGGGAAGTAGGAAAGAAAAGGAGAAGAAGAACGAAGAAAGTAGAAGGAGAAAGAGGAAGGAAGAGAAGGGGAGGAGAAGAAGAAACGTTGCGGTAAGAATAAAGGGTAAAAGAGCAGCCCCGAAAAAGTAAAAATGAAAAATGAAAGTTAAAAGATGAGATGAATGAAAAATGATGGATAAATGACTGTACATGTAAATGTGTTTATGAGAAATAAAAATAAACTTTTTTGGGGGGAAGAAAAAAAACAATGAGGGAAAAAAAGGCACCATATTATGACTGAATGTGTGATAGCGTGCTTTGTGAAATCAAGTCAAAAAAACAATGTTTCCCAGAAAATGTTGCATGTCTAGAGCATTGCGTGAATGCAAATCTTCTGAATGAATTGAAGCACAGGGCTTCCTTTTGCGGCTCACTAGGTTGTAAGCTGAGGAGTACCTGTAAAGGTAAACCTGATCTGTATTCCCCCAAATCAAAAGGCTGAATTGCCACAATCTAATGGTGGGTTTCAAATTTTTTTACTACTGGTTCTGTGGGCGTGGCTTGGTGGGCGTGGCATAGCTTGGTGGGCGTGACAGGGGAAGGAAACTGTAAAATCTCCATTCCCACCCCAGTCCAGGGGAAGGTTACTGCAAAATCCCCATTTCTTCCGGATCAGCTGGGACTTGGGAGGCAGAGAATAGATGGGGCGGGGCCAGTCAGAATTTTTACTATCGGTTCTCCGAACTACTCAAAATTTCCTCTACCGGTTCTCCAGAACTGGTCAGAACCTGCTGAAACCCCACCTCTGCCACAATCACAGCACAGGGGGTTTGAGAAGAAGGGGGAATTCTAGGAAGGCTTAGGAGGAGGAGGAGGTTATGAGTTGTGATGTGCTCTAATAGAAAGCAGATGTCTTCGGGTGTAAACACAGCGTATCAACTGATTAGTAACCAGATAGGAATGTAAGTCGCAGGCATGATTGCAGCATCAAATTCAGAAGAAGGAAGCTGTTTGTTTAGGGAGGGCAGAACCAGAGGTCTGGTTTCTCCATAAATTGACCCAGCCCATTTTCAGCAAAGTTGAGGGCAATGACCCACAAGGTTGGCCTCAGAAGTTTCTCAACCAGAGAAATTTCTTCTCCCCAAAGCCCAGGATTGCTGGAAACAGACCAGACTTTTAAAACAAAATTGTGATTTTTATTTCTCTTCCCCTCCACCCAGAAAAAACAGGGGTGTCCAATCTGGGAAACTTTTAAGGCATGTGGACTTCAACTCCCAGAATCCCCCAGCAACGCAGATCTTAAAGTTGCCAAGGTTGGACTCCCTTGCCCTTTAAACAGGGTTCCTCAACCTACGGCTCATGAGCCGGATACGGCCCGCCGAAGCCATTAATCCGGCCCTCGCGGGACCATGAGGCTGCACCGCCGACATCGCCCCACCTACCTGTCGGCCCCCACCTGCCTTCTGGAGGCCAAGTAGGCCAAAACCGGGTCCATATTTGGCCTCCCTGGCCTCCAGAGAGAGGGAGGGAGAGAGCGAGAAAGACACACACCCCAAGGCAGCCACATCCCTTCACTCACCTGCTTTCCACCTCCAGGAGCGTAACAAATGTATTGTTTAATGGACTGCTAAATTGGCCACACCCACCCAGTCACATGACCACCTAGCCATGCCCACCCAGCCAGTCCGGACCCCCAACAGTCTGAAGGACCGTGAATTGGCCCCCTGTTTAAAAAGTTTTAAAAGTTTGAGGACCCCTAAAAGATAAACATATTCTGCAGCTCCCTTCTAGAGTATTTAGAGGGAAGAATGAACATTGGCTGCATTTCTTTCCAGCAAGGGTTAATTCTGCCCTGGAAACCCTGTCCAAAACCATCTCCAGCCAGATTGTCCTCCAACTCTCAAAGAGACCCTCACGTACACACTTCGTGCTTGCCGTATCCGGACACCTCACATTCCGTCCATTCGGGCAACTGGAGTCCAGCATTGGGGAGACAAACAGGACGGACGCTGTCAGTTTCTGTGGCACAGTTTTCGGATTGGCTTTTCAACTTCAGCAGGGCTGTCGAAACAGAGAGCGAAAGAAAAAAAGGAAAGGAAAGGAAAAAAAAGGCCCGTGAGAACCAGAATTCAGAATAACAAGAGTTGGAAGGGACCTTGGAGGTCTTCTAGTCCAACCCCATGCTTGAGCAGGAGATCAGGCAGAAGCTGTGCCTCCAGGGAGGGAGGGAAGGAGGGAGAGAAGGAGGCAGGAAAAAAGGCTTACCGATGTCATTATCCAAAGTCCTGGAGTTGTACTTCTCGTGTGTAATGTATCTCTCCACTTGGAAGATCTGCTCTGTGACGGATGATTTCACACGGAACGTCCGGCCCAGGACAACTTTGAGGCGTCGGGGGTCAATGCTCCTGTACAGAAAACCACAGGTGATGGCCAGCTGCCTGGGGCAACCTGCCTTCCATCCTAATGCAACCAGGAGTGAAATGCTCGGTGGTTCGAATCCCTCGTATAGGTCTCCTGTGTCAGCAAGGGGGGTTGGATTAGATGTCCTCCAAGGTCCCTTCCAACTCTGTTACTGTTACTTTGAAGTTACACCCACCAGTCCAAGGCATCTACACAGCCCTAGCACATCCTCCAGTGTATTTTCCAGAGTTTGAAAGACGCTTGCGATATTTTAACAAATGCAAATGCAAAAACTGGGGAGGCTCAAGAGTTGGAGGATGATGGCTGTGCTTGCAAACTCTTTGGGGAGCTTTTAAATCATAGTCAGAAGGAAATTGGGGGGGGGTGGAATGCAAGTTGAAGTTTCTTTGGGACCCCAGATCATTTGGAAGGTCTGGATTTCCACAGCTTCCTGAGACATAACCTCCTTATTGTGAAGATTTTGCAAGGAGAAGGAGCTTTTAACTTTCTTGCATGCAAGAGAAAGTCCCAAATCAGTTCCAGGGAGTCACCATGGAAATAGCAAGAATCCCTGCCAAACAGCTGTGAACACTGAGCAAAGGCAGAGGATGTGGGGTCAGATGGGTTTGATCATCTGCCCCTAAAGCAAAAAAAAAAAAAACTCCTCTGCTATCCAGGAATTTGCTGACTAGCCAAAGTCTAGAGAGTGAGTCACACGTTGATCTCTTACCAGCCTGTAAAGCAGTGAGCTGCTGAGAGGATCCAGCAGGAATTGATGAGGATGCCACCGCAGTGATAACCTTCGGCACCTCGGTTCTTCACGAAAATGCCCGCCTGCCACGGGTGGGACTCAATATATGAGTAGGCACCTCCTTTGATCTGGATCTCCGCCACTTTGTGCTTCCTTAGCCCACAAGTGGCTGCCCAAGGGAAGGAAGAAGCCAAGGAATGAGATTTAGAGGCGACCAAGCAGTGAAAATCAACATCTTGATTTACAGTCACTCTAGAATTATTTATTTGTTATTTATTTTGTCGCATTTCTATGCCGCCCAACTCCCTAGGGACTCTGGGCGGCTTACAACAAAGAATAAAACAATGCGAACAATCCCATAAAAAATGTTAAAAAGAAAAACATTAAAACATTAAAAACGTTAAAACACATGCATTCCAATTCGTGGCCAGGTCTCGCAAAATCATTATAAGCCTGGCACTCGGACAAATTAGCCATCAATGGAGTCATAGATATAAACAATATCCACTTAGATTGCAAAAGAGACAATCAACAAGTCAAAAAGGGAACAAAAAGAGCAAAACATCTTCCCACCAGCAATCAGCACCCAGCTGAGCATAGATTAACTCCAAGATTAACACCAGACCCACAATCAAAAAGTGAACAATACACCGATCGAGGAACTGCCAAGCATGTTACCAGTAAACACCCCAACCAAGAAAGACCACCTGCACCAACACTGAGATGGCAAGCCACTGGAATATAAACTGAGAGCAAACCCCTTACTAGCCCTTCCTTCCTTCCTTCCTTCCTTCCTTCCTTCCTTCCTTCCTTCCATCCATCCATCCATCCATCCATCCATCCATGGTGCACAGTGATTAGAATGCAGCATTTCAGGCTGACTCTGCCCGCTGCCAGCAGTTCGATCCTGACCGGCTCAAGGTTGACTCAGCCTTCCATCCTTCCGAGATGGATAAAATGAGGACCCAGATTGTTGGGGGCAAGAAGCTGACTCTATAAACCGCTTAGCACTGCAAAGCACTGTGAAGCAGTATATAAGTCTTATTGCTATTGCTATTGAAGCATTTTTATATGGTGTCTTAGACCTGTTGCAAGCTCCTCAGATGCTGAATGTAGTCAGTATAATAAGATGGGTAGACTATAGATCAGGGGTCAGCCACCTGCAGCTCTGGAGCCGCATGTGGCTCTTTCACCCCTCTGCTGCGGCTCCCTGTCACTCAAAATATGTGTCATAACCGCCAATGTGCGACACCCGCTGGCACACAATTTATTGAGTTTTTCAACCCCCAATAGGCCAAACATGGATAAATCCAAGAAAAGTTTCAGAAGAAAACAGAACATTTAATTCAACTACATTTAATTCAACTACATATGCTAGTTTTGTGGCCGCTCAAAAAATAGTCAGGCACGGGAAGAGTTTTGTGGCTCCCGGTGTTTTCTTTTCTGTGGGAAATGGCTCCAAATGGCTCTTTGAGTGTTTAAGGTTGCAGACCCCTGGTATAGACTGCACAATGTTGCTAAACCATTCTTCCCAATCTTGCTCCCGCTATCAGGGGCTGTTAGGACTTGTGGCTCAGCAACATCTTGAGATCAATTAGTTCTCCATTCCCAGCATAAGGCTTTGGTCATAATCCCTGTGAAGAAGAGTCTCACATAAATCAGGGAAAGGAATCACTTACAGCAGGCGGGCACGTCACAACGTTCCCATTTTGTCACTCCATTCTTGAATATATGGCACCACGGCTGAGTGTCATTGTCAGGATTCCTATAACACACAAGAAGTGGGAAGGTTGGGAAGACTGTAAGATCTCCTAATGTAGACAGTTCTCGATTTACGACCACATTTCAGCCCCAAATTTCCTCTGGTAAGCATGACAGTTGTTAAGTGAGTTTTGCTCCATTTTACAACCACTTAACGGGTTTTAACGCACTTTTAACTTAACGCACTTTCCGCCGTGCCCTCAAAACATTCCTGTTTCAGCAGGCCGGTCTGGCCTAACTTTCCCTTTATATTGCTTTTGGTTTTATTTTAAACTGGGATGTCTTGAATTATCTAGGACCAGAGTGTTTAGTATATTTTAATTGGTTTTTTTTTAACGTTTGTATTACATGTATTTTTATCATTCGCTGTTCACCGCCCTGAGTCCCTCAGGAATAGGGCGGTAAATAAATTTAATAAATAAATAAATAAATAAATAAATAAATAAATAAATAAATAAATAAATCACTGCAGATGTTAAACGAGTAACACGATCGTTAAGTGAATCTGGCTTCCCCATGACTTTGCTCGTCAGAAGTTTGCAAAAAGGGGGATTGCATGACCCCGGGATTCTGCAACCGTCATAAGTACATGCCAGTTGCCAAGCATCCAGATAAGCCAAAGAAATATCTCCACATCTCAATACAGTAGAACCTCTGGTCACGACCATCATTCATTCCATGATTTTGGTCGCAAACTGATTTGGTCGTGACCTGAACCTAATTTTGGAAATTTGGCACTTAAAAAAAAAAAAATGGTGTGGAAGGGGAAATAGGCCGCGGGAAAAAAATGTGAATTTTTTGGTCAAAACCCGATTTGGTCGTGTTCAGAAGCATTCGTGACCAGGGGTACTCAGGACAAGGCAGAACCACTATCCCCGTGCCCCAATCTCACCCACTTTGGCCCAATGGGTGCCATATTCCAAAGAATATTGAACAGAGATTCCGACATCCAAAGCCCACTTGGTTGAGTTGGGCAGCTTTAGAGATTGAATAAATACATTTTTGGTTTACCTGCAGTAGTTGTGGCTGCTGAGGCCCAGAATATGGGCATTGGGGTGGAAGGCGTTGTAAACTTTCTTGTCAAGGATGTGGGAGTCCCATCTGAGACACGTCACCCCAGATGCTGTTTGGTGATGGCTGCCCCGATAGTCGGTGCCTCTTCCCAAAACGCAGGAATTTTTTTCTGCGGCAAAGGATAGGAAAAGGGATAGGTTGGATAGAGGAAGCCCCATTGCTTTCATTCTTTAGTTTGGAAACCCCCTTCTATAGATGTTGAGGAGTATTGCCCCAGGCTGAATATAAGGGAAGATCCTGTCAGATGCAAGCCCCCAGATACGCAAATGTAGAGTTCAAGGCAGTGGTGAAATCCAATTTTTTTTACTACCGGTTCTGTGGGTATGGCTTGGTGGGCGTGGCGTGGTGTGGCTTGGTGGGCGTGGCATGGTGGGCATGGCAGGGGAAGGATATTGTAAAATCCCCATTTTCTCCCCACTCCTGGGGGAAGGATATTGCAAAATCTCCATTCCCTCCCCACTCCAGGGGAAGGATACTGCAAAATCCCCATTCCCTCCCCACTCCTGGGGGAAGGATATTGCAAAATCTCCATTCCCTCCCCACTCCAGGGGAAGGATACTGCACAATCCCCATTCCCTCCGCACTCCTGGAGGAAAGATACTGCAAAATCTCCATTCCCACCCCACTCTGGGGCCAGCCAGTGGTGGTGTTTGCCGGTTCTCTGAACTACTCAAAATCTCCATTACTGGTTCTCCAGAACCTGCTGGATTTCACCCCTGGTTCAAGCTATGGCAACTACTTTAATGTATTCTGCCAATAATATAGGAATCGGCCCATTCCTTCTCTTGGGAATAGTTAAATAAGGTTCCATGGAGCTTAGTGGGTGTCAATTTTGGATCCTTTACAATTCCAGGCTAGTTCCCTGCTTAAGCCCTCCACCCTGCCTGGCTGGGTACTTCCCAACAGGTCCCCAGATGAAGTTGGGGGCCAATACATGAACGATCAGAGAGATCCCAACTTGGACATGATTGGAGATGGGAAATAGCCTAAAACAGGTCCATCGGAAAATTCAAAAGTTCCCCAACCTGCCCCACCGACATATGTGACGTGAGCCATATTATACCCCTCCACTCATGACTTACTCAATTATTAAGTAAGCTATGAATAAATAAACCATAAAATGGAACCTCTTCCAAATCTGGATTTGCAGTTCCAGAAGAGAAGTAGGGAAAAACAGTGGTTTGTTTTAAAAAGAAAAGCTCGGAGTAACAAATCCCATTTTTAGCCCTGCTCAGTAAACAACGATAAAGGCTTTGAGCTTACCGTCGGTGCAGGACGTAATGCTGCAATATTCCCAGACGTACATATTTTTTTTAAGAACGTAGCACCAGGGTTTTGAGCTTTTATCTGGATTTCTAAAGAAGACAATGATACAACATTCAGGATTGTGAGTCTATTGGATGGATGGATGGATGAACGAAGGAACGAAGGATCGTAGAATTAATAATGCATAATAAAGCAACAGAAACAATAATTTTAAAAAATCCTCGAATGCGCTGAAATGGATAAATTAACGATGGAGATCAAAGAAAGAGAAGACTCGGATTATTACAAAGTGTGGAATAGGTTTTATACACAGTTAGAAAACAGAAATCAAATTAAGAAATAAGAATATAAGGTGAAATTTGATATTAACATACTGGATGTAAATGTAAATAATGATCCTGCTAACAAAACAGTTAATTATGAATGTTTAAAAATAAAGAGAAGGAGCGGGAGGATAAAAGCTAAGAGTAAAGACAAAAGTCGATGCAGAAAGTTGTGAAATTGTATATATCTGTTGTTAGTATTGCATTTTAACATTTGATGTAAGTGTATGTGGTTGTTGTTTTTTTTGTCTCTTGACTTCTTTTGCTATTGTGTGTTTGGTTTTAAAATGTAAAATAAAAATTAAATGTATCAATAAAAATTATTTTTTTAAAAAAAGCAATTCATAGGTGGATTTAAGGACTATGCCTAAGAAAACACAATATTCCAGTATTGTAAAATTTCCAGTGTCTTCCAAAGTCTCTTTTTCCTTAAGATACTTTTACTGATCTCTAAACCAGTTCATAAACCAGAGAAAGATTTATCTTAGCATTTTTCCGACCAATGTATTGCATTCCAAGAACACAATTTTGTCTGCAGTAGCTTACGCTTAATGCTTTTTAATAAAACCTGTTCGTCAGAAAAGATGCTATCAAACATTTTTGGTTCTTGCAGAGCAATGTTTCCCAACCTTGGCAACTTCTGTGCACGTCAATTCCCAGAATCCCCCAGCCAGTCGTGGGACGGAAGGAGCTTCAGACTGGCCTGAAGTTCCTCACAGCTTCATGTTCTCAAGACTGAGAAATAAAGCTGTTAAACAACTCCGCTCCCCTCCAAAAATGTGCATGATACAGTACAAGGAAGGAGAAGACAGACAACGCCTATTGCTGCATTCAACCTCTTACCGGCAATAATTGTGATCACCAAGCCCCAACTGCAAGGCGTCTGGACTATCCGCATGGAACCGTTTCAACCGCAAAGCTTTGGTCTTCCAGTTCACACAGTCCGCACCGCTCTCCGTTGTGCTCCATGTCCCCCTGTATGTGTCCCCTGTATCCTGGTAACACACAGCTCTGGTATCTGAAGAGGAGCAGAACAAAGATTCCTCGGAGTCTCTCCCAAACTGCCTCTGGAGAAGGCTCCGTGCACCTTCTGGTGGCAGGGCAGGAAATTCAAAGAGCAGGGGTCTCCAAAGTTGGCCCTTTTAAGACTTGTGGACTTCAACTCTCAACATTCCTCAACCAGCATAGCTGTAGAGCAGTATTTCTCAGCCCTGGCGAGTTTAAGATGGGTGGATGTCCACTCTCAGCCATGCTTGCTGGGGAACTCTGGGAGTTGAAGTCCACCCATCATAAGATGGCCAAGGTTGAGAAGCATGAAACTGTTGTGTTTGCTAAAAATTGGAAAAATGAGGAAATACCAACACAGGATGAAGTTACTAAGAAAATTATGGAATGTGCTGAAATGAGCAAACTGACATTTGAAATTAGAGAACAAGAAGATTATCAATATTATAAGATATGGGACTTATTTTATCAATGGCTAGATAATAAAACATGGAAATGAAATAGGGTTGAGACTATTAGAACGTAAGAATGGTAGAAATATACAAAATATAATGCAAAGTGATGACTATTGTTGATTGAGGACGAAGAAATGAATGTTATAAGATAAATATTTGAAAATAATTTGTATGAAAAGAGTTTAATGAGGATTATACTATAAAGATACTTATTAGATTGGTAATATGAGAAATTAGATAATTAGTAAGTAATGAATATGGTGAGGAAGCACAAAAGACTTGTAACTGACCAACACGCTGTTTGCAATTGTATGGATGATGGATTTATATTTTATGTTTTGTTTTAAAATAAAAAAATTTTTTTCAAAAATAAAAAAAAGATGGCCAAGGTTGAGAAGCATGAAACTGACAGTTTCCTTGCTTTTCAAAGCAAGCGTCCCTTGAAGAAGGGACAAATTTGCAGTTGGAGTCTGGAGATAGATCCTCCTTTTCTTCTTTTGAACACTAGCATCAACAACTGATATAATATTGTCGCTGAGGACAGACCAGATCTGACATTAAGTTTCCATAAGCTCCTCTGGCCTGATCCCTTTCTATTGCTAAAATTAAATATGATCTGGAGCAAGCGGCTGCCGTTGTATGTATTTAGTCCGAGTGCTGCACTTACAAAAGTGGAGTCTGCAAAGTTAGAGAGAGGGGACGCAGCACGGCTGAAAATCCACCATTGGCTTCCTAGAGGGCACACTGTAGATGACCAGGCTGAGCCTGAGGGAGGGGTCAAATGCATCATCAGTCTGGAATCCCTGCGTGCCCACAAGAGATCTAAGTCCAGCCCACCTTGAGTTCCACTGACTCTTATCTATCGCCAATTTGTTTTGACCGTTAATAGTTCAGATTCTTGTACGGAGCGCAAGCTTACAATAAACCTTTCTATTCGTTTGAACAAGATGATAAGATGAGATGAGAGATAAGATACAAGATATGAAGATGATAACCTGATCCACCTATCAGTTCATCCTCCTGTCACATACTCACCAATTTCACAGAACTTCCCCGAGAAGCCCGGCGGGCAGAAGCAAATGAAAAGGTTGGGGGAATACAAGGCTTTCTGGCAACGGCCCCCATTGAGGCAAAGTGGCTTGATGCAGCCTGTGGGACAGAAAATAAGAAGAGTGCCTTAATTTCTCCCTTCCGTGACCCCATTACCTTCCCTTCCTTGTGGGAGGAGGAGGAGAACCATGTATTGTGGTCCGCCAGTAGCTGCGGAGCTGGCAGCAGAGTCGGACAGTGAGGAGGCTGGGGAGGACAATTTGAGTCCCCTCAAATACTGGAATACTTAAGTGGTGGTCCATTAGGATGTCCTAGGACCATGATGGTGAACCTATGGCATGTGTGCCAGAGATGGCTCTGTGCACCATCACCAGCTTCTGGTTTTTGAAAAATGGCCTGAAAATGGCTGAAAATCGGCCATAAATCAGCTCAAAAAACGGCTAAAAATGGCTGGAAAATAGCCCCCAAAACAGCCTGAAAATGGGCCAAAAACAGCTGGAAAATGCCCCCCAAAACAGCTGGAAAAAGTCCCAAAAAAGTCCCCAAAATGGCCTGAAAATGCCTCAAAAAACGGCAAAAATAGGCCCTTTTTTGGGCCAAAAACAGCCTGAAAACTGCCCCAAAACGGCTTCAAAATAGCCCAAAAAATGGCCTGAAAACGGCCCAGAAAACAGACTGAAAATGGCCTGAAAAATGGCCAAAAAAAACAGTGTGTTTGTTGCCGGCCAGCTGGTCTTCGGGTTTCCAGCGCTCCGACACGTGCGTTCCGGGTTGGCCCCCACTGTCCTAGGACATCACAGAAACCCTTTTGGTGACTGTGGGCCACAGCCTCCCTCTCCGCCCGACAGAGTTGCTGCTGTGACAAATATAGGACGACGGAAGCTTTTTGGGCTGTTGGTTTGAGCTCCAAACTTGGCAATTTAGTGCGTACAGGATGCTTTCTGTATGTACCACGTACAAAATAAAGGTGGGTTAGGAACCTAATCCATAAATGCCGTCGCTGGATTTAGAGGCCCCGCCTGGAACTCACCTGTGACAGGTACTGCATGGCAGAGGACGCGACTGTTCTCACACCGGCAATATTCCGTTCTCTCTTTGACTCGGCGGAGCCAACTCTCCTTCCGGTTGTAGGTCTGTCTGGTGTAGGGGTCTCTGCATCTGCCTGTAACTGAAAAGACAGGAAGTCCTTCTTGGTTTCGATGGCAGGGCAGCGGGTTCCGCCTTTCCCGTCACCATTGTGTGTTTGCGCCGCACAGAACAATCTACAGCTTTTATCAACTCTCCCCCTCCGAGCCTCATTCCCCCCCCGCCCCCCCACAAAAGGAGGACTTTTCTTCTTCCAAAGATTTGGCAAGCCCCCTCAAAACCTCATCCGATAAGTGTTCTCTGCGCCAGTTCACAACCTATTTATTTGCTTGGGCAGCGGGAGCTGTTTTGATAAAGCTGGTTGACATGAGTGAACAATTGTACGCTTTTCCTGCTTTTATCCTGCCGCGGTTATGTTATTGGCATGCTTTATTGTACTGTTTTATTTATTTTCACGGTATTTCGCACACCAGTCTGGCGTTCTATGGGGAAAGGCAGATAGACACCTATTTTAATATAAAAGAAAGAGCGAAGGGCGTGCCAAATGTGAAAGGAACATACTTATCAGATTAGTTTGTAGGCACAAAGCTTGGCTAATCCCCAGCCCTCTTTTTGCACTGAAAAGCGCGAATCTCCTGGCTCTCTTGAGGAGCCCTAAGAATCTTTCCAAGAATCCAGTAGAACCACAGAAGCTGCAGGGAAAGAACTGGAACCCAATATGGTTCTGGAAGATCCACGCAGGCAGTTGCTTGCTGTTCACAGGATCTGCAGGTCCAGATAGTCCTTGACTTATGGCTACAATGCACCCAATTTTTTGTTGCTAAGTGAGACGTGTTATTTTGCCCCATTTTATGACCTTTCTTTGCCACCATTGTTAAATTAGCAACACAGTTGTTAAGGGAACCTGGATTCTCCGTTGACTTTGCTTGTCAGAAGGTTTCAAAGAGTGGGGAGGGAATGGGGATTTTGCAGTATCCTTCCCCTGGAGTGGGGTGGAAATGGAGATTCCCTGAGATAGTTTGAGGGCTCCTGCCTTGGGTAGAGGGTTGGAGGAAAACACTTTTGGTCACCTTACAGAGGAAAAAGTTCAGAGAAGAGCAACTGAGATGATCAAAGGCCTGGAGACTAAGACATAGGAAGAGACATGAGCCGAGGTGGCGCAGTGGTTAGAGTGCAGTACTGCAGCTACTTCAGCTGACTGCTAGTTCAGCAGATCAGCGGATCAAATCTCACCGGCTCAAGGTTGACTCAGCCTTTCATCCTTCCGAGGTGGGTAAAATGAGGACCCAGATTGTTGGGGGGCAATATGCTATTTAGTATACTGTCTTTGGTGTAAACTGCCCAGAGTCCTCGGAGAGTGGGCGGCATAGAAATACGAAAAATAAATAAATAAATAAGAATGGCGGCAGGATTTGGGTTTGGCTAGTCTAAAGAAAAGAAGAATTAGGGGTGACATGATAGCATATTCCAGTATTTGAGGGGCTTTGTCAAATTATTCTACAAAGAATCGGAGGGCAGGACAGGAAACGATGGATGGAAAATGAACAAGGAGAGAAGCAACCTGGAATTAAGGAGAAACTTCCTAACAGTGAGGACAATTAACCAGTGGAACAGCTTGCCACCAGAAATTGTGGGTGCTCCATCACTGGAGGTTTTCAAGAGGAGACTAGACAGCCACTGTCTGAAATGGTATAGGTCCGTGATGGCAAACCTATGGCACGCGTACCACAGGTGGCACATGTAGCCATATCAGTGGGCACGCCAGTTCAGCTTCCAGAGAGGCTCTGGAGGCTGGGGACAACAAAAAATGTCACTTCCTGTCCAACTGGGAATTGGGAAATGGGCCATTTCAGGCCTCTGAGGACCTCCGAGGGGGTGGGGAAGGCTGTTTTTGCCCTCCCCAGATGCATAGAGAGGATCTGGAGCCAGGTGAGAAAGAAAAACGGGCCTACCGGGCCATCATGTGCCAGGAACAGGGGGGAAGGGGTTGCATTCGCATGCACAGGGCGGGGCACATAGAATTATGGGTGTGGGCACGTGCACAAACCTCCCCCGCCCCTCCCTTCCTGGCACACAATGACAAAAAGATTAGCCATCTCTGGTATAGGTTCTCCTGCTTGAGCAGGGGGCTGGACTAGAAGACCTCCAAGGTCCCTTCCAGGTCCATTCCATTCTATTCTTCTATCCTCTATTCTATTCTCTATTCCATTCCATTCCATTCCATTTCTATTCTACTCTATTCTATTCCAATGGGCACTTACCTCTTCTTAGTTGACTTGCTTGGCCACTTTGGGTAATGCGTACAAGCCATTCCTAGAAAGAGAAAAAGAGAAAGAAAAAGGATCAAAAATATAGAAAGTTGACCAGATTCCAAGGATTAGAAAAGTGGGGACTTTGGAGGTCTTCTAGTCCAACCCACTGCCCAAGCAGGACACTGTATACCATTCCAGACATCATTGGAACAGAAGTTGCCTCCGGAAGTTGTGAGCGCTCCATCCCTGGAGGCTTTTAAGAAGAGACTGGACAACCATCTGTCTGAAAAGCTATAGGGTTTTCCTGCTTGAGCAGGAACCTTCTCCCAACTCTATTATTCCCCCTTCCAACTCCCAATTATTCGATTCTGCTATTCTGTTGAGAGCTTTCCTCCTCTTTAGGAAGCGGTTTGCGATCGGACTTCGATCCGGCTCAGAGATTTGCAGAACTGGATCATTCTCTCATCACTCTTCCTTTTGTCTCTTTCAAAGCTCAAAGCCCGCCTGCAGAAACCATCTCCCTTCTCAAGCTTTGGGAAGTTGGCCGCGAGCCCTTTTGTTCCCAAGGCCCGAATAAATATCCTTTTGATCGATGACACCACTCGAGCCAAGCTTACAAAACAAACCCCCATCTGTTTTCAGACGAGCCCCCCAAAAAAAAGAAAAAAACCCACCACACCCGGTTGTCAATCAAAGCCAGAGAAAAATTGGACCTGGGTACCTTCGAGACCGTCTTCTGCTACCAGTAGCCTCCCACCAGCCAGTCTGCTCCCACAGAGAAGGTCTCCTCAGGATGCCATCGGCCAAAATTATGTCGGCTGGAGACACCCAGGGGGAGGGCCTTCTCTATGGAAGCCCCTGCCCTTTGGAATGAACTGCCCCCAGAAATGCGTAAGATCTCCGATCTCCGTGTATTTTGCTGTGCCCTCAAAACCTTGTTGTTCCGCCAGGCCGGGCTATCAATGTAAAGATTTTAATTGGTTTTAAATGTGGGATTTTAAATGTGGGGGTTTTATAATTGAGCCAATTATTTAATAATTTTAATTATTTTTAAATTTTGTCTGTCTTTGTGCTTTTAATCAGGCTGTACACCGCCCTGAGTCCTTTGGGAGAAGGGCGGTATAGAAATAAAATTAATAAATTAATAATAAATTAATAATAAAAAGCCCACCGATGGAGCACGCTGGGCTCTTACCTGGCATTGCAGCACGGCGATGGCTCCCGCCAGAAGAAAGAAGAGAAAGGTCTGTCTCAGGCTCATTTTGTTCCCTTTCAGCGAGCAAGAAAACCCCTAAAAGGCAACCAAGCAGAGACGTTAGCGTAAGGAGGAGATGAGACAGGGGGAAGATTTAATGCAAAAGTCTCGGAGCTTCGTTTGCAAGGCAGGGGGCGTGCGGGACGGCAAGCAAAACACACATAAGCTGGTTCTGGCAGAGGGCTAATGGGAACAGATGGCTGGGGGAGGATTTCTTCCTTAGTCAGCTGGAGACTGGGCAACGGCAGCTGGACGACAGCACCACGGACACCTAGTTTAAGGCAGCCAGGCTGATCTGCTGGCACAGCTTATCTCCGTATCCCATAATATTGCCCTAGATCTGTGCTGCTTCCTTTCTGGTCCTTTGGCTCTGGGTGTGGAAAGGAGCTTCCTTGGCCTGAAAACCTGGGGTTGTGGTTTTGGCTTTCTGTTGGTCTGGGTCACTGGGGCTTTGCTTGTGTGACTCATTCATCCCAGCCATAACAGACGTCCAGGGTCTTTTAAGTCAGCTCCCAAAACTAAACCTTTTCTGATCTTGGAGGGGCAACTTTTACTCATGCTCAATTTAGTGCTCAAAGGCTAAAGAAAAGAAGAATTAGGGGTGACCTGACAGCAGTCTTCCAGTATTTGAGGGGCTGCCACAGAGAAGAGGGAGGTCAAATGATTCTCCAAAGCACCAGAGGGCAGGACAAGAAACAATGGATGGAAACTAATCAAAAAGAGAAGCAACCTGGAATTAAGGAGAACCTTCCTAACAGTGAGAACAATTAACCAGGGGGAACAGCTGGCCTTCAGAAATCGTGGGTATGTCTTCATTGCTGGAGGTTTTCAAGAAGAGACTAGACAGCCATTGTCTGAAATAATATAGGTTCTCCTGCTTGAGAGGGGACTGGACTAGAAGACCTCCAAGGTCCCTTCCAGCTTCTATTCTATTCTATTCTATTCTATTCTATTCTATTCTATTCTATTCTATTCTATTATCATTCTTAATTCTATCCTATCCTATCCTATTTTTCCCAATGTGAAAATAATCTTCCGTGGAAATCTTCTTACAGTTCTGTATGGCGCATACCAGGATATAACCAAGCAACACCCTGAAGAAATTTGAAGCTGGTGGGACCAACTGAGAAACGGAGGGATGGGAGATGACTGATGGATGAGTCACTTAGCCAGAAACCAAAAACAGAAAAAGCAGAGATAAAGTTTTGGGTTCAAATAAGAATAGGCTTTGAGCAAAAGTAAACAAAGTGAAAATTAACAATTTCAAGAGCTTTTCAAAAGTCAAATAGGAGGAGGGGAAAGAACAGTCACAGGATTTTGAATTCTCCATTGTTTGTATTTGTATTTAGTATAGTTTATTGAATAGCCCGAAGGCCTTTTCAAACAAAACAGAAAAGAAAAAGGGAAAAAGATAAAACAGTTACAAAAATAGCAATCTAAAAATATATGATAGATGACATTAAAATTTTACAATATCAAATTTCAATAGCTAAGTTGCCAAGACTAGATAACCCAAATAGGATAGCTCCTCTCTAACTGAGCTCATCTTCCTTACAATCGATAAAATGTTTTTTGATATAACTGGCTCGTATTGCCATCTCCATTGTTCAACATCAAAGATGCAAAGTTTTTGGGATTAAGCTGCAGTTGGTCTGAATGGCTAGGCTATTCTCCAAAAAGGTGAGTATGGGTGAGGCCAGGACAAATGCTAACGTGAAACTAACCACCTATAAGTGAGGTTCTATCAAGAGTGGCGTGGTGGCCTAGCAGTGAAGACTCTCACCTCCCACTTGGAAAGTTGAGAGTTCAATCCTAGGCAGCAGCAGATATCTGCTGCCAACTCTGCATGGTGTCAGGAAGGGCATCTGGCCAGTAAATGTTCAGCTCCATCCTGTCATCCTAATTCTACCCCAAATTAAGGGATTACAGTATGGGGTCATTGGTTGGAGATCATCCTAATAGCTCACTTCTTTTTCACCATAGAACCCCAAAACTGGATCATGCTCTTTAGAACATAGAATAAAAGGATTGGGAGGCTCCAGCTCCCTGCTCAAGCAGAAAACTATTCTGGATAAATAGCTATCCGTCCTTTCTTGAAAACCTCAGGTGATGGGGCACCCACAACTCTGGTAAGCAAGTTGTGCCATTGATTAATTGCTCTCACTGTCAGGAAATTTCTTAGTTCTAGATTGGAATCTCTTTAATGATTTGATTTTACTTCTGTTCTTAATTTTTGTACTTTACGTGTTTTATTCTGTGCCTGTTCACCGCCCTGAGTCCTTCGGGAGTAGGGCGGTATACAAATTAAATAAAATGAAATGAAAATGAAATTGTCCTGCCCTCGGTGCTTGGAAAATAGGTTTAGTAGCTCCTATAGAAAAAACCTCCCCCTGTGAGGGAGATGTGGGTTCTTAAATATGAAATAAATAAAGGAAATACAGAGCTGACTCAGGGTTTCCACATAACCTCAATGCAAGATACCAAAAGCTCAAATGAAATGGGAACTGTAGGAAGTTAGCACCCAGCCCTTTCCTAGAGGGATGAAATATTTGGGGAAATATTGAAAAGGCAGAATATTATGTTTCCCTGGATGAGAAATGGAGAAGCATGTTTTAAAGACGAAGCAGCTCCCATCTTCCTGCCCTCACTCTTTGTCAATGGGCCAGAGGCAGAAACTCAATCTTTCAATCTTTGAAACTCATCTGCAATACAATAGAACCCATCTAGCAACAGAAACTCACCACATGGCACCTGGGAAGATGACATCAGCCAGCAAGGCTAGCTGAGACCCCCACCCCCTGGGAGTCTGACAACCAATCAGGATACTCTTTCTGGGCCCCAGGAAGTTCAAAGCCAGAGAGGGCATAAAATCCGGGGACTCACTGCGTCTCGGCCCCCTTTTTCTGTTCAGGAACTCAAACCATGTGATCCTGTCCACCATTAAACCATCTTTCCAAGCAGTCTCCATGTTTCCAGTGTCTTTTTCCCCACTTGGAGCTGAACCCAGAAGGATATTTCTTCCAACAGAACCCAAGGCAGAACTTCAGATGGTGGTGAAGCATTGATGGCCCTTTGGGAGCCAAGGGTCTTCTTGACAAGAGGGATGTCCCCAGCCGACTCTCACCTAACTGCAAACAGCCCTCAACTTACAATCACAATTGAGCCCCAGATGTCCGTTGCTAAGCGAGACAGTCGTCAAGCAAATTCTGACCCATTTTATGACCCTTCTCGCCACCGCTGTTCAGTGAATCCCTGCAGAGGTCAAGTTAGCAACACGCTTGTTAAGTGAATCTGGCTTCCCCGTTGACTTTTGCTCGTCAGGTGGTCGCAAAAAGGGGGATCACGTGAGGCTGGGACCCTGCTGCGACCATCCTAAATAGGAGCCGGTTGCCAAGAATCTGAATTTTGATTGCGTGACTGTGGGGACGCTGTGGTCGTAAGTGTGAAAAAGCCTAAGCCAATTTTTTTTAACTGCCTCCATGGCCGTGTGTTTTTGACAGATGACTCACAGGAGAGAAATTAACAAAGAAAACAAGAAGAAGAGACGACGGTTTGGCCCCAAATCCAGTTGCTCTGAAAAGCAAGCAAGCTCAGCTGTACAAGCCTCAAAGGAAAGCTGTTTCGCAGGAACGCAGAAGAGCCCAGAGAAGGAGCAGGGCGGGGTGAGCGCAATTAAACAACTGTCCCAGTCAATGCAAAATCCCAGAGAGATGCTATTTTCTGCCGCTCAGAAACTGAAGGAGCTTTAAGACTCTCTGGCTGAGCTTAGCCCAAGGTTAAGGAAACACCAAGCAAGCCTGTTTGCAAAACATTCCTAAACAGGCTGGGGAAGCTAACAGAAATAAGAGAATAACAGACTGGGAGGGGCCTTGGAAGTCTTCTAGGTCAGGGGTCTCCAATCTTGGCAACTTTTAAGGCTTGTGGACTTCAACTTTGCTGGCTGAGGAATTCTGGGAATTGAAGTCCACAAGTCTTAAAGTTGCCAAGGTTGGAGAACCCTGTTCTAGGTCAACCCCCCCTTAGTTAGGGTTCACACATCAGGCTGTGCCCGAAATAACCGAGCCTCGTTCTATCCGAGCAGGTTATACAAATCCAGCCGACTGTTTTAACAATCTTTCCAGAGCAACAAATGAGGGATTTAGAACAGGAGCAGATTCTGTGGTGAAAGGTGCATGATGTCCTTAGGCCGCATTGACGGATGGCGCCACCTCCCGCCCATGTGAAGATTTGCACCGGCTCCCCATGAAAGTCTAAAACTTCCTTTCTGGTCTATGCTCCCAACCCTTTCAGCCATGATCTGAAATCACGGACATCCGTTGTGGGTCTGTCTTTAGGTTTGCCCTAAGCTGGGCCAATAGATTGCACAACCCAACTATGCCCAGTCAGCAAAGGCTTTCAAGCACTGTTAGTGGGCAACAGATGGAAGAGGCTTCAGATGTCCAGGGAAGGAATTAAAACAGGAACAGTCATCTTTCCTTCTCTCTTTTGGTGAAGTGCTATCATTTTGTCTTTCTTCTTTTAAAAGGAAAGCAAATGGGCATGATAGAAGGGAGGGAGGGAGGGAGGGAGGGAGGGAGAGAGGGAGGATGGAAGGGAGGGAAGATTGATGGAAGATAGAAAGGGAGGGTGGAAGGAAGGAAGGAAGGAAGGTAGGTAGGCAGGCATGCGGGAGAGAGGGAGGGAGGGAGGAAGGAAAGAAGGAAGGAAGGGGGAGGGATGATGGAAGATAGAAAGGGAGAGAGGGAGGGGGGAGGGGGATGGGAGGGAGGGAGGGAGGATGGAAGATAAAAAGGGAGGGTGGAAGGAAGGAAGGAAGGGGAAGGGAGGGAGGACAGAAGATAGAAAGGGAGGGAGAAAGGGAGAGAGGGAGGGAGGGAGGGAGGGAGGATGGAAGGGAGGGAGGGAAGGAGGAAAGAAGGAAGGAAGGGGGAGGGACGATGGAAGATAGAAAGGGAGAGAGGGAGGGGGAGGGGGATGGGAGGGAGGGAGGGAGGATGGAAGATAGAAAGGGAGAGAGAGAGGGAGAAAGGGAGGGA